TAATACCGGTAAAAAAATTGTTAAATTAGTGGCTATTACAACGGAAAATTAATAATTATTAAAATCGGCGACGTTCAAAGATTTCCGATCGGGGTGGGGGACTTAGCCGATCGGCGGCTATATAAGGAGCGACGCAACGCAGCAGAAGTCATTTGTCGGTTAGACTTCGGAAGTGTAACGTCTAAATTTTCTTTGTGCACGAGGGGTGGGGATTCGAACTGAGGTGGGGGCTGGCTACCCCATCCTCAACCCCACCCATTAAACAATTTACTAACAATTTTTGTTTCGTTTTCAGGTATTAATTATTTTTTCCTTTCAGGTTTTAATTATTTTTTTCTTTTTTCAGATTTTAATTATTTTTTCACTTTCCAGCTTTTATTTTCTGATTCTATTTATTTTCATTCGAATATTTCGTATAATGTTCGAATGTTTCGTCGTTGGTTTGTCCGTGTCTCATCGTTAAGGTTTTTGTCTCATTTTTGGGACTTTAATAATTTTATTTTCATTTCCGGATTTAATTATTTATCCTTTCCCAGATTTTACTTTTTCGTTTCTATATATCTTTACACGAGTATTCGAATATTTCTCATAATATTCGAATGTTTCGTCGTTGGTTTATTTCTGTCTCATCGGTGGGTTGTTCCTTCCACTTGGTTTACCTTCATGGTTTCTATCTCTTCGTTTCCTTTCCTTGTATTAATCCGTTTCATTTCAGGGTTATATTAACAATGATATATTCTGTTTTAGCTTTTAAATTTCTCAAGATTCTCAACTTTCCTTAGGACTTCGTTTCGGATATATCAATGAATGCTGCGGGATGCGTGCGTTTAGACCTAAGTAGACCTAAGTAGACCTAAGTAGTCATAAGATAGATGCCTAGACTAAGTTTCTTGTACGTGCTATTTGTACAAAGGTAAGCTACCTAACTTGGAGCGAATATATGCATTTCATATTTTCCTTATCCCTATCGTTTACCAAATAGAACATAATTGTTCTCGCGCTAATCGCGGTCGTTCTTAAGTACCGACTAGCCTACGCGACGTACTCTCGCGTACTCGATAACTACATGCTTCATAAGTCATCCAAACGATTCGTTCCGACACTCACCCTCGCCACTGCCACCCTTGTCGCGCATCGGCTCTAGGGTGGTCGGCGGGCTGGGTCTCATCTGGAATCAATACGAGGGTCTGTCGGCCCTAGTCGTCCTGGGCACCAGCGCGTGCACGACTGAGGTATGGGCCCTGTAGCCGTGACACTGCATATGGGCCTGCGGTCAGACCCCATGGGATGATTAATTTCTCCCCCATGTTGCAGGGGCCTGCGTGACCGGCTACTGGGCCTCGCTAGGAGCCCTCGGCTTGATTTTGGGTGCTTCGCTGGTCGACCACTCTCGTTCACGAATAAGTCATGGCAGGGTCTGCGGTGGCTGGGTAGGCTAGGTTCGATCGGGAGGGTGCCGAGACACGAAGTTGTCTTGTACACGAGGGTACATCCCGTAGGCTAGTCGGTCTTTCGTTGCAGACGAGAAGGCCTCAGTTTCGGCACAGATACAAGGATGGCTTTAGCACGATCTGCTTAACGTTGTTCGTTAAGGTAGACTAAGAATAAGATTAAGAATCGGATCATTTATGCTAATAAAAGAAGCGCGTTTACTTCTGCGTTGGCGTTAGAATGGCTGGGTCAGTGAGGGTTGATGTGGACTCGGTCCTACGGTTTGCTGAGCAGACTTCTTGTCTGCAATTCATAGTACGAGACTCTCTAGGCACAGCTCGTAAATTCTGACGATACCTCGCCGGTTCTACTGCATTCTGTGAGAAGTACAGGCATGATTTCCAGCAGCTACGGTGGGAATTCGTAATTAATGGGCTGTCCTGTGTATCGGCATAACGTGAACAGGTTACGAGATCGTGTGTACAAGCGATACGTATATCGCTGTATCGACCTACGCGTCGCGTTGTTAATTCGCGTGATTTTATTTCCGAGTGACACGTGTTTGTATATGGAGCTTTATCATTTTGTCGATTCGCCGAATTTTGGTTATATGCACGTACACGTGGCTCGCCATAGATCTTTGTCGTTTGTCAATTTATGTGGTGCTTCTTTTTGCCTATATGTTTTGGCATGGATCTTCGTTGTTCTGTCAATTTGTGCTGCTTCGTTTCCACGTTACACGGATTTTCGTGCGCATAGATTTCTAGCTGTTGCAAACGGCAGCTGCCTAAGTAATATAATTTGAGCATACACGTGGTACACGAATTTGTTGATTCTGTGGAATTGTGATGTATAGTTCATCGAACTATTAAAATCTAATGGCAACTGAGCATTACAAGTTGAAGGAAAATGATGTTGGTTATATTTGACATTCCAACGTTGTTCAGAGTGACTTGGAATAATATAACTCGAAAATCGTAAGGCTTTTGTATAAGCTATGCAATCCCATGATACGTCTCTACTCGCGTTGAATTATCTTTAATATTATAAGGCACTATCACACTATAAATTTTTGTAGCAATATTTCACATCTGTAACTTTCTAGTAATATTTCTAGTTATATTTAATACTAGTAATTTTTGTGGTAACTTTCCTTGGGTAACACAAAAGTTATTTCCTTTTCCCTCTACTTAAATTTATCTACTTAAATTTTCACTTAAATGGGATTTGGGTCACTGTTGCAACGTTATATCTCTCCTGTGCAATTACTATAGCGAGAAATATTATCAGCCTTACATCACGTTATTTGGATAGGTATTTGTATCAATTATATTAATTACAAACTATTTCAGCTGTTTAATTAAAGCTTCAGCGTAGCGAAGAAGTACAATATTGCGTTATTTGATTCTTCGTATGTCGTGATCCATAGGACGATAAGTAGCAACTTATGTAACAATATAATATTCACACTTTCGTCAGAAAGTTTGTAGCCTTACTTGAAGATAATAAATCGTAACTCATTCTTCGTCAGCAATTAAATATCAAATTGGAGGTCTAAGTAACAAGGCAGCATTATATTTTCAGAACGATATGATACTTCCTAGAAAATAGGAGTCTTAGATGAGAATGAAGCTTCGTGACTCTAAACAATACACAAAACCAATTGTTCCATTATCGCTCATTAGTCATGGATAATTGGTCGCTAATTAAAGTACAGTGATTACACGCACAAACTAATCAGCCTTCAGTTCCAGCTTATCAGGTGAACAATGTTATCGGTATGCCATTTGACCCCAAGATAATTCTATTTGGAATAAAATATGTAAATGTCATTGCTTACATCAATAGGCATCTATCGATAGAAGCGTGTACAAAGAAGTTACAAGAATTATTAAGATAATAATACAATGACCAAGCAAGTTTCCTCTTCCCCCTTTTCAACCCCGATTTCACGTAATTCGTTTAGCAAGTCATTTAGCAACGTTGGAATAGATGGAATTGATCAGCCACGGATCATCCGCTGACATCGTGCAAGAGGAAGCATTATTGCGGGACGATGTCAGTGATTTCGTCGAAAGTGGCTTGCATGTCTTCAAACGCCAGTACCAGGCGGGACCGAGGTCGAGACACGCGTGAGTTAACAAGGACGGAGGCTCTTCTTAATTATAGTACCCAGCTTTGCACGAGACACAACATGCGAATGGTGGTTACCAGCCAGAGCCAGGACGCGATGAACTTGCAAAAGAATCCCATTCGTGACAGGGTCCTCCATGATTCGCTTGCGTGCTCCAGCTGAAGTCGATTAATATCCCTTGGGCCACACAGACAGTCCTGGAGGTACACGAACGTTTCATATCGGCGATAGTACTGTTCAACGTTCTATCAAGATAATTTTTCTCGTTACCTTGGTATAAAGATAGCGTTCAGATGGAAGGATTCGAGAATTTAATATTAGAACTACCAATCTAGTCAAAAAGACTGTTCTCAAAATTCTCCTTCATGCAATTACTACAAACATATTAACTACTTCTCTCGTCTGATTAATATAGCATACTTTTAGGGACATAACGTCGAGTTAAGCACTAAAGGGCCTATTTCGGTCTTTTGTAATCCAATCCTAAATGCTGAGCAGTTCGTGACTCGGTGTTTATTTCTTCATTGTACATTCCAGCTGAACTTCTATATTGCCTCGGGTCACCGGACACGAGGCGCCATTCCGAAGCCTAATTTAGGCTACTAGGCTTCGGGATTTAGTATTGACTGCCAGATGGATAATAGGAAGTTGGGGCCGGACCACGTGAGATGGCCTCGCGCAACTCCCACTTTTCCCATCGCGGTCACCTCTCGGGAAGGGTTCCCGCGAGTGTGGCTCATCGGAGGCCCTAACCCCGAAGATGGAGTCCCATCCACCCTTGACCTTGGCATGGAGGGAGTTTTTCCTCCTTCGGGGAGGCGCTTGTCCTCTAGACGGACTTTAAAAGTTCTGGAAAACAGAGTTAGTTGTCGAGTTGTTAAGAAAGTTCAAGAGATACAGAGTTAGTTGCAGAGTGAGTGTCATAGTTGTCGAGTTGTTAAGATAGTCCGTCGGAGTCCCTCAGTTAGACGAGTTACGATCATAGCCGCCTAATAAAGTCTAATCAGAGGTCCTCTAGCAGCAACTTACTTCTTAAGCACTTCACTAAACCACCATCCACCTTGATCCCTGTATCAACATGCACTATTACAGACGATGAGAACGTATATAATTAATTGAAATGATTAAAATGACACGATATATATAATCACGAGACGATGTTAAGGCTGTATTAATAAAGTTAGAAAATTTGATAATTCAACGGTACGTGTAATACCTATAGTATGTGTATTACACATATAACATTGCGTGACACTGAAGAGGCATTCTCAAGGAACTGCTAGAGGAGATACGGTGATTCATGTCACAATCCAAACAAAACTCGATATAACAAACACACCATCAATGAAGATAGTAACATTAGCAACGGGTTTGAACCTGCGTCATTGAATCATTGCACACTGTTGCAACGTAAACCTATACCGTATTTCAGTCTGCGTTCGCATTACGTAATTGAAGGTAGCGCAGAGGTGTTAAGCAGACACGTAACCTGCACTTACGACAGTTCATCTTAAAACGAGAAGCATGAAGCATAGCTTCGCGGGTCTGTTCTTCGCTCTGTGCGTGCTGTGTGTCGTGAAGCAGACGGAATGCTACAGGATACTAGCCCTCGTGGCCTCGCCGTCCTACAGCCATCAGATTCCGTATCGGCGATTATGGTTGAAATTGCACGAACGCGGTCACGAAGTCGTGCTAGTCACCACGCACCCAATACCGGGCATCAAATCTCCGAATTTCACTCAGATAGACATTAGCCAGAGCTTGAGTCCTGTAAGGGAAATCGACTTCGTGAAGATGAGGTTCGATGGGATAACATGGTTCAACTCTCTGGAGATTCGGTTCTTCGACATGTGCGCGGACTTCGCCAGAAACGTGTTCGAAGACCCGCAGATGAAGAAACTCTACGCTCCAGACAGCAATGCCAAGTTCGACGTTTTCCTGACGGAGTTCCTCTACATGCCGTCCCTATATGCATTTGCGCACAGATATAACATTCCCATGATAGGTATTGTTGTCATATTTTCTTTCGCGACACCTTTAGTCGGCTCAGAGTAGCAATTCGAAGTGCTAGAAAGGTGTAATGAACAAAATAGAACGTAGTCTGACGAAATGATCAGTCTCGAACTAGAAGCTTCAGCTGCTATATTGATTTGAAACGTGTAGTAAATTTTCAGCAAAGCAAAACTCGGCATTTATCGAAGTAGACGCGTAATCTTGTGCATTTATCTATTTTGATCCTACCACTTGAATTATTATCATCTACTTGTACTATATATAGCAGCAATCGGTAAGCCTGCAGTTCTAGCATCAAGCTAGAAAGACGCATGAAGAGTACAGTCGATATCTCTTGAATTATTTAAGCCTGAAGAATTGCAATGGAAATTGTCTGTATCGATCAGCATTGAAATTCTTAGCCTCCAATTCGAATCGTGGAATAACGTCTCAAATTTTGTAGTAGAAATGTTTATCTTTTGGGTTACTGGCTATAAAGACGCAGGTATTACCAGTATTATACAACTTGGTAGATTTGAATAGGTATTTAAAGACGGTGTTGGAGGTTAGGAATTAGAATATTCGGAGCTTTCACCCATAATCCAAGCGAAGGACCATAACAAATCTGGCTAATCACGATTTGCATGATCGTAGCTCTGAGTTCGTTAGGGACGGCGGCCATTAATGAACACGTCTTTAGAGGAGTGGTGTTCCCTTCTCACGAGAGCACGTGGGAAATGGAAGCGAGCACGGGCCCGAATTTACCGTTCACCAAAAGGTTGTCCAATTTCCTAATCATGTGGCGAATGATGTACATCTTCCATCGCGATGTATTCCCGACTCATCAGAGAATAGCAGAGAGTTACCTTGGCCCTTTACCATCGATGCTGGATATCATGAAGAACGTTAGCGCATTTTTCATCGATCAATCTGACATTTTGACACCGGCCAGACCAAAACTCGCCAACGTGGTCACGTTCACTTCCTTTCACATATCCGAAAACCCGGATCCTCTGCCGAAGGTACGGCTTTGAAAAATAATTTTATTATTTATGTAAATAACCACTACACTAACCTAAGTAATTCGCGTTCTAAATAATAATAATAATAATAATAATAATAATGATAACATTAATTTTGAATGGTATATTGCATATTTCGACTTAATATTTATGCACAAACAATTTAATAAGGTGATTCGAGTTATGAAATTTTAAACAACAATATCTACTGCATAATCTCAGAAGTTACATCCTTCTCCCGAACTACAGTAGCACGTTTTCACATATCATTCTGATTCCTAGAAATTATTATACCTTAAACGTCAATTAGATATAGTTGCTGATTCGAATTGTCCTTGTCATAGGATTTACAGGAGTTCATCGACGATGCAGACGCGGGATTCATCTACTTCAGTTTGGGTAGCAATGTAAAAAGCGCAGATTTGCCGACGGAACTTCGACGAATGTTCTGCGACGTGTTCTCCAAGTTACCGTACAGAGTCGTGTGGAAATTCGAAACGGACCTAGAAGAAAAACCAGCCAACGTTTATAGCAGCAAATGGTTCAGTCAGCAAACCATCCTCGGTATAACCCTTTCCTTTGTGAACTAGTTACATCCTAGTTAAACTCTAGTTACATTTTGCCAAACTGTTGAAAGTGGGAATTATATGACGAATTATTCCGTTCTTCAGCTCATCCGAAGATTAAACTGTTCATCACGCAAGGTGGTCTGCAAAGTACCGAGGAGACCATTCATTTTGGAGTGCCAGTTATTGTTTTCCCAGTAATAGGTGATCAAGATTATCAAGCAAGCAGGGTGGACGCTCTTGGCTTTGGGAAACGTCTGGAAATCACTACTGTCACGAGAGACGAATTCGAAAGTGCTATTCAAGAGGTGATAACTAATAAGGAGTAAGTATATATTAAGCATATACAACTATATAGTACTGCGTTAGGTATTTAAAGGTGTTATTGTTCTACTAATTAATTACGTCGTATTTGTACAGGCATTTAACTGTGATTTGGACAGCTGTTTCTTTAGTACCATTTTATTATTCCTTTGATACGAACTTTACTTGAAATTCTTGCATGTCTCATGAAGTTTAGCATTTCTGACATTGTATATATTATGCGTAAACACAAAATGTTCCTACAAGAATTTTATATAATTTTCTATACTTTAGTGCACGATTGCAAAAGTTGTTGTTAAATCATTTCTGTAAAATATTTTATTGCGGTTATCTGCAGATACAAGGAGAGGATAATTAGAATTCGGAGTCTCATTAGAGACACACCGTACGATCTCGTGGAAAATTTGATATGGTGGACTGAATACATAGTCCGATCAGACGGTGCCCCTCATCTTCGTTCCAGTCTGGCCACGCAACCTTGGTACCGATATTGCGACATGGATATTGTGGTGTTCCTGACTACCGTCACTTCCTTCGTCATTTTAACCGCAATTAGCCTAATTGTCAGGATTATCGCGTCCCTTCGCAAGAGTTGGCCACCCACTGTTCATCAGAAGCAGAAGATAAGCTAACAGGGCGCGGAATGTGCGCACACAGTTGTACCTAGGAGCACCAAATGTAAAATATATTATACATACAAATAAATTTTATATTCGAGCTAATTGGACTAATCATATTTAGCCTAATGCAACATCATTTCTGTGTTGGAACATCGGAAGCATCGAGAGCGCGTATGCATCTGTTGAATGCATCCGTTCGTTGAACTTTTGTGGGTCGCCATCGTTGGCATTCACATTGTCTTCACGAAACTGTCAGCATGACATTCGCTGCGAACACTCCCTGACAAGTTAACTTTAAACAGCTGGATCGCATATATAGCAAGTACATACCGCTTCGCCGCTCAGAACGTTGAACTGTGTCTGACTTTTTCTTCCTCGAGGACGCATGTGCTCAATCACCTGAAAGATACACGTGTTGCATAATGCTACGTTTCGCGTGTACAACTGGAAGAAAGACTGGAGCATGAGAGCCTAATTTTCATCTCACCTATCGATATCGTGCAATTGTCATTGTAGATATCATTTTCAAATATCGTGTTATATATTTCATGTGCGCATATGATACTGCATAATCTATCATGTGTGTGTTTAAGTGTATGGACATACTGCAATGCTGTATGACTGTTGGGTGGCAGTAATTTCTTTTCGTTGAAGGCAATAAAACCAATTTTCGACATCCTGCAGTATGTTAAGCTATGAACACGGCACAACCGATAACACAAATGGCGTTATGATGTAATTGAAAATTCGCTTATTTTAGATAAACGAATTTTCACTGCTAGCTGTACTGCGACTGAAATTTGTAATTTTTCAGATGCTTCGTATTTGATGGCTCGATGAAGAGGGAACCTTATTGTTTCGAGAAATATCTTTCACTCGGTTGCAGGAATGACTTCCATGCACATTTAATCTGCAATTTCGTGTCGTTTCAGGTAGAACAGAGGAGATAAGCTCTATGAGTCTATCTAACAGCGTTTACCAGTCGTTCACGTTGATTCGTGAGAGTCACGCAGCTGGCAGTGCCGTCGTGGTTCTGTCATTTTTATTTCAACGACTGATAACTCCACCGATATACTCTTTCAGAAAGGAGTTTCGCGTTCGAGGTAATTTCAGGGATTTTCCTCCCCTGTTCGACAAATATGCTCATGCAATGACTATGGATCTTCTTGCATAATTGAGAGGAAGGCATAGACCAAGTTCGCGTAATCTGTATGACATTTGCGTGTATATTTCCCAGGAAGCAAAGTACTTGGTCTGCAAAATCAACAACGATTCAACGTAATGCCTAAGTATGGCTTGGCCTCTGGAACTCTGAGACAAGGGTATCTTGGAATTCATATTTAAAAGATTTTCTGGGAAAGAAACCTTAGTCGTTTAGTTACAATCTTTCCTCTGAATAGTCCTCGTAATGGGATGATGCAACGTTGAGGATTAAACAATAGTGTATAAAACATTTTGTTATATCTTTTACAAAGGAATAACGATGAAAGGGAGGAAAACATTGGAAATTCAATACCTCGTTTCGTCTGCTTTGCGTGATATTACGCGAAGAAGAAGATTGCTGCATGTATAATCTCTTATGGTAAACGTGCTCATATATTTTCTTCCAAATTGGAAAATTAAAATCAGAATCTTCTGTTCAATTGAATTTCCTTGTAATAAAGCATGCCAATACCTTCTCTGCCAATTGTATAACCATAGGGAATCCTTACAACGTGAAAGATCAATGGAATAAAATTTCAATTTGTGGGGGTTCCCCCCACGGTATTTAGGTGACGAGGTCTTCGTTGGTACGCTCGTGCTAGAACTCTATGTTTCCTGATGTTCGTATGGATGGTCTGGTGTTCCTATGGTGTTGCCTGTTGGTAACCACTTGGTCGTCATACTATGATAGGGTGGCAGGTGGAAGGACGAAAGGAAAAGGAAGGAAAGCTAGTGGACTTGTCAGTACGGCTTTCTAGTAGGCCCTAACTTAGACGGGGATACTTAGGTAGAATAGGAGCTTCTATTTTAGGGAGGTCGGGGATTCACTGAGGACTTACGAGAAAGCCTTTGAACCTCCTACAAGTCAGAAGCCATTTACTGGCGAGTGTGATAATGATGGTCGCTACAGATTTATTCTATTTATACTATTTATTATTATTATATTATTATTATTGTTATTATTATTCTATTTATTCTACCGGACTGCAGTGCACTTTCGAGATAAAACTGGGCCAAAATGAATTCTTCGTAACAACGATACAATAGGAGACATCAAACATTCAAGTCTCGGATTAAAGAATTTAATCCCAATCGATTCACCGTAAAATCAAGGTTATAGTCGTTGCGGGTACCACCCCGTGCCAGTTCTACATCCCTACAAGCCATCAGCCTTACCACAGGCTGTGCTTCCGCTATAACACCGGTACGAACGGTGGAAGACGTGGAACGCGTTGGATTCACTGTTTCCCGTCGCAGGAGGCGTGTACGTGGTGTCTGCGGACACGCTTCACGGCGTGCGCGTAGCCGTGCAATTTCTTCGCCGAGATGGAAGAGATCGATGGCACTTTGGCAAGTCACCAGAGCATTACGCGATCGTGCAAGACGAGTCTGGCAATCCATTGCATATCTCGCCCGCTCGCGGGTATGTACGCGAGTACCTCGCGCAATCCGGCCAGCTGTCTGGCCTCGCCACCGAGCGAAAAGAGATCGCATCAGCTTGAGTTCACCGGTAAATGTTTGTCTTCGGTAGATTCGTTCCGTTCGCTTGTGCGAGCACGCGTACGCGTCCCGATTCCTGCCGGGAATCCCGCCAATTCCGACCTTCCTTTCTTCCTTTCCCAAAATCGCGATCTTTTGATCGGCGCTCATAACCTCTTACTGTCGCACTTTTGCCTTCGTAATTGACGTTGTATCGAGTTTATTAATACTCCGGAAACTGCGCGGCAGTATTATAATTATTTTATATTAGTCATTGCGTCACTCATATCGAAAATAAGCCGTATTATTTCTTTCGCAATTGAATATTGATATAGTTGCAGCATACTATACTCTACGTTATGAACACTACGATATAGTTGTACATAATCATGGCGATTACACGAGTCATTGTATCGTGTGTCGTAAAATAACCGATTAAACCTTTCCCTCTGTTTCACACAACATACACGTATACTTGACTATACCAGAAGCAATCTAAGCTGACAGAGATAGCGTCGACAATTTCTAAAACACCTATATATCTTCCACGATAACTGTTCGAGATTGGAAACAGCCCCGCTATAGTTGGAACCATCCTATCGGACATCGAAATTCCAGATGCTTGACACTAAGATACACAGATTCGTCACCGTTTTGAAACCAGTATTTCCTCATTCGATATCCCTGATTAGCAAATGGGAAACAACACTATCACAAATTATCCTCTACCCTTTAATAACTTCTGTAATATACTCATTTGCATTTTAAATTTATTTACCGTGCAGCTAAGTAAAAAAGTAAATATTCATATTGTTACAAAGTCGTATAATATTATTTTACTTTAAAATGTGTACAATTTTTAGTTCAAGTTTGATCCAAAGCTAGAAGGAATCTGTTTAGAGCGAAAGTGCAAATGGGTTGATATAAGAGTAATTCGTTTCTAACCTTTTCGATACACAATGGACCTCGAGATTAAAAGCCACCCCATGCGTGTGTACGACAAGCAACATGCAACAGGGAACAATATTCCAGCTAACCAATTCTGCGTCTCCAGGCTCTGGATTCGATTACACGGAATCACTGCAACGCGTCATTTCCAGTCGACAACGACTTCCCAGCAGTTAACAATTTCCATCGAGGTTCGCGGTGAAAATCGTCGACGAACTCCCTAGAAACTCCACCGACCGTTCACGATCGTTTCGCTAAAAAGAATCCAATTTTGGCGCTGCCGCGTGAAAAGCTGTCCGGGTTTCTCGGTCTCTTTCTCGAAACTTCGAAGGAAATTGAATTCCAGCCGGCGATAGCTCGCCTGTCGAGCAATTATCGGTGATTTAACCAGAGGCGAGCAGCGTGCCCACGGGAGCGGTTAAGAAACTTGACAAACCCGCGCGCGGAAAATCGTTTCGCCTCGCGTTCCGTTGCGACAGACCGTCGTGGGATTTCACACTTTCCCGTTTGCGGAGAAGCAAAACCGCCGGTCCGTGGCCTCGTGACCGGCGAAACGGACGAGAACTGCGGTGAAAAATAGTCACAAGACGTTTTTCTGCCCCCGTTACGGCTCGCAGCGCCCTCTCGGGACGAGCAGCTTTTACTTCCGAATTTCACCGTTACGCACAACGCTTAACAGTTCAAGCACGCCGACGCGTGGCGAGCCTATCTTGTTTACCTCCGACATGCTCCAGAACTCCGCTGTATCGTTTCTCAGAAGATACGCGTGTCCTGTGTAACGCGAATCGATCTTACTTTCCTCTTGCAGAACGAGATTTCCCACTACATTACTACCAAGATGATACGAGTATCCTCGTAGCTTCCGATAAAATTATCTCGTTTTCCAAGAATAGATACGTGTCCTCCCGATTTCCCTAAATTCCCATGCCATTTTAAGATATATTCGTCTATAAATTGGCGCCCATTTCGCCATAAGCGACAGTCTTGTGCAGCCAACCAACCGTGATATTCTTCGTCGTTATAAATCTTGCTTTAAGGCATGTCGCACGCGTTCGGTTAAAGTATTAAAATAAGTTGTTAAGACTGTCGTATGCTTGCTAGAAATTCTGACGCATTACTTATTTACCGTATCGTTCCGTGACACTGGCGTCGCGTCTAGCGCTTGTATGCCCATGACCGTGACTTAGTCCCGTGTTAGTTGCAGTGACAATGAAATCCATTAGAACGATTTTGACGGAGAAATCAATTTAAACTTAGATGAATGTCGCAATCGTTGCTGTAAACTTTGCCTTAGATAATTCTGTGGTGAATGAAATATAAACATAAATAATAAATAAATATAATATCATACGTTATTATGCATAATAGAATTTAGAAGTATAGAATGTGCTATGGAAGATAATTCCGAACGATATATATATCTATATAATTATTACACGAAGGGTATATTAAACGAGTATTACTTACATATTTCTAAGCTGCTTGTGTGTTTCGTGTAGACAAATGACATGTGATTTGCATGTTATGACATAACTTAAAAGGTGCAATATATAACGTAACAGCAATATATTAATATACTAGGTGGTCGTGAAATCGTGACACAATCGAAGCGCAGGTAATTCCTCGAGTAAAACTGAATCCAAAATGCTGAATAAAATCTTTTTGTACGAGCCTCCATTTACGAGAAAGTCAAGGTTGAAAATTCGAGGAAATGCGTGCAGTTTGCATTTCGTAATTCGTGGAATAATTCGCCTGTGGCACCAAAGATGACATTTTCCACGTCAGAAAATTACTAAAATAAATTTTACTGCTTGCTATCCGTCATAATTATTTCACATATTGACCAACGTCGTTTACAAGTGCGAACAATAGTACGTGCATGTGAAATGGACAATGAATAAGTGTGCGCGCTTCTATCGAATATTTAAACACGATTTTTTCGAAAACGAAGCCACATACAGGAAACATTTTACATTTTCAACTTAGTTCTATGCGATGAATTATCTCCGTGCTCGTTGTATCACGATTTCGCGAACACCCGGTATATTCTTTAAAATTATTAAAGCATTTTAATAGAAAATACCGGAAATCGAATTGAAGACTTTACTAAATTTATTTGTTCAATTTAGTTTGGCAAATAACGTCATACATATCATTATAAAGGAAATAATAGATGATAAATTAATGGCATACATGCTCCATTCTCGGCCAAATTTTTAATTTAACAACGAAACCAATTAAAAAATGCAAAATTGTGGAATGTCATTGCGATATTTGATTATTTATTATTCGATGATATTTTCGCTGATTTTTATTGACCTGACGTTATGCAAGACTATAGCGTTGTTAACCTTGTCAACCAAAGCAATCGCTATGTCATTTGCTATGTCATGATGTTGACGAAAATAATATCAGACATTTTCTCTCGTTAGGAAGGATCAAATTTTACCATTTTGTCCACGTCGAACGTTCAATTGGGTCACTCCCTACCCCTGACTGGTTATTTGGCTCAATTGAAATTTATTTACGGTAAGAGTCGCGTCCTATGACTTAATATTACCCTCTATTGCGATGATTCGCCGGATTGCAAAGATGAATTAGTAATTACGGTAATCTAAGACGTATCACAGCCGTCGCGACTGGGCTTACGGTATTATTCCGTACTGAACACGAGGCACGTGGTTGTAATAAAATAGTCGTCTCTACTCACATGAGAAATTATGCGATCTAACGACATGTTTCGGAATGTGAATTAGAAAAATCACGTGGTATTATAATAAAACAATTTAAGAAAAAATTTTCAGTTCACGTCGAAAATCTAATTCTGCTTCGTGTTATTTCAACATGATAAAGAAAATGTGTCGATATACTTTCTAATGTCTGATGACTCGATAACACATTTATGTAACTTGTGATACTTTACATCTAGTGCAACTAAGTCACTTCTACCATAACTTGATCGATGAAATGGCACAATGTAATAAAAATACAAATTCACTGTATCACTGTTTCGTAACATATGAAATGCAATGATATACTTATTGCACAACATTGGATTAATGTTCTATAAAGAATGATAACAAATCATCTAATTTTTAAAAAACTATCTTAAGAAAACGATAATTTTCAACTAATTTTTATTATCATTATCACGTCCACTGCATGATTCTTCGTATCATTCAATATCGCACTTATCGCCCACAGCTTTGGGCGGGGAAAAGAATATTCTAAAACGATATACAGTTACATATATAAGGCAAATAATAAATCCAATTACAGAGGCAAATTTAATACAAAGATCGCGAGAACCGGAAGAAGCTTCGCTTTCTAGGAAACAATACAACACTCGCGAAAATGTCCCTAGATGCGATAAACAAATGTAACCTCAATGCCGGTCAAACTAATCTCGTGAACTTCAGGAGAACTTCAATTCTAGTTCCTTCGTCTTCAAGATATCTTCGTTATTTACCTACGAAATAATATCCAGAAATGAGAACCACGATTCACGAAATATCCCATGTAGAGGTAGCAAAACCCTGAAACTACTAACTGCCAATCTCACTCCTTCCATGACCGCAAGGCTATGTAAAATAACTTATATTATATATTAAATAACTTTCACTGCAGTTCCTTCATTATCAAGATATCTCTGTTATCTGTCCACGATGTACTAATCGGGAATGAGAAACAAGATTCGCGATTAACCTCATTTACCGACGGTAATTACCGGAGGTTACCTAACCTAACCATTCTCCTTTCACGATCGCAGGAATTCTTTTCGAGACAGAATCCATAAACGGTAGCGTGTCAGAAAGAAGAGGAATCCTGAAGAAAAAGCTGGACACGACACAGTGTTTCTCGTGATTAAAGTAAACTCACTGCAACGAACACACTGTCATAATAAATAGCAATAGTAACAACAGCTTAGAACAACTAGTGGGAATCATAGAGCACCTGATGACTCAGCGATAATGTTATCGAACTGAAATGCATACAAAAATATCGTATCATCGTCGGCGTCCGTATTACGTAAATTGACGGTACCGAAGAGATGTCCCTTTTAGCAGGCCTGTAGCCTGGCACTTGCGACAGTTCGTCTTGACCCGAGAAGCATGAAGCACATGGTCACTGGCCTGTTCTTCGTTCTGTGCGTGCTGTGTGTCGCGAAGCAGGCGGAAAGCTACAGGATACTGGCCATCGTCGCCACGCCGTCCTACAGCCATCAGATCCCCTATCGGCGATTATGGTTGGAATTACACGAACGCGGCCACGAAATTGTGCTGGTCACCTCGAACCCTATACCGGGCATTCAATCCCCGAATTTCACCCAGATCGACATTAGCAAGGGCTACAGTGACATAAGGAGCATCAACTTCGTGCAGTTGAGGTTCGAAGGGAAAACGTGGTACCAGTTCGTGCAGAATGAATTGAAGGCTATGTGCGACAGTTTTGCTAGACACGTATTCGATGCCCCGGAAATGAAGAAACTCTACTCTCCAGATAGCGACGTTAAGTTTGACGTTCTCCTCACGGAGTTCCTCTACATGCCGTCCATATATTCTTTCGCGCACAGATTTAACGCGCACTTGATAGGTATCGTTGCAACTTTTTCTTTTACCACTTCTCCGTTTCGTTGAAAACAGCAGTTCGAAGTGTTGACAGAGTGCTGTATACAGAATCGACCAGTGGGAAGGACACAATTAGGACAGATCTGTCAAACTAAATCTGAAAAACGTCCTGAAACAGAAGCATTAGGTGTCGTAATTAGTGAAAACGTACAGCTGCATTTCTGAAGGCTGGCTTTGATATCTGTTAAGCAGACGCGTAATAGGGTACACCTATCTATTTTCATCGTACGATTTTATTTATTCTATCTATGTGCATCGTATATAGCTGCGCACGACAAGTCTTTGGCAAGCGGTTGGCCTGCAAGTAGCATGACAGTAACGTCGTTATCAGCTTTGAAATTCATTGTCGCGGATTCAAACCGATGATTAACGTCTCAAATTTAGAACTAGAAACGTTTACTTTATGACACGTACTTGAACTTCAGTTTGCAAAGACACTCCTACCCTGAACAGTTTATTCAAAGTGTGCAGTTACTTTTCAGCAGAGGAGGCTTCGATATTTATAAAAATGGAGGCATAATATATGCGTGTATTTTCCTAAAAATAGTATGAGGAGAAACGTCGATATCTGTTTAAAAATCCACTGCTCTAGAATTACGATAGAAAGCTTTAAAATTCTTAACCCCGAGTTCTAATAGTAGAGTAGCGTCTCCAATTTCATGTCAAAGCGTTTACCTTTTGGTATGACATGTGGTTGATTCGCGATTGAACTGCTGCTTTCAAGGACGCGCCATAATCCTCGCCAACGACTGTGACAAATCTGGCTAATCACGCTTCGCACGATCATAGGGCTAAGTTCGTTAGGATCGGTCACCATTAATGACTATGTCCTTGGTGGATTGGTGCTCCCTTCTCACGAGTACACGTGGGAATCAGAAGCGAACACGGGCCCGAATTTGCCGTTCACTCAGAGGCTGTTGAATTTCTATAATATGTGGCACCTTCTGTACACCTTGTATCGTGACGTATTCCCGGATCAACAGAAACTGGCAGAGAGTTACCTTGGGCCCTTGCCACCTCTGCTGGACATCATGAGGAACGTTAGCGTGATGTTTCTCGATCAGTCTGACGTTTTGACAGCGGCCAGACCGAAACTCGCCAACGTGGTCACATTCACTTCCTTTCACATACTCGAAAATCCGGATCCTCTGCCGAAGGTATGTCTGGAAAAATAATTTTGTTATTCATGTAGATAACCACGACAATGTCATAAGTCGTATATTTTGTTTTGTGTTACAAATACATTTCCTCGAATTAACATTCGGACGACGTTGTAATTTTGAATGGCTTATGACACATTTTGATTCAACATTTCTACACGATCAACGCAGAAAATTGTTTTGCTATATGTATATTATCTACCTATGGAGAAAAGTTTTACAGATTAATATTCTAGATCTTTGTAAATTTAAAACATCAATTTCTTACGAAAATTGCATGGTTGTTTGGATGTACGTCGTGTCGAATAATTCGTAAGTAGAAAATGAAATGATTAAATATTGTTTTCTATTATCGATTTGTTTCATTTACAACTTTTCTCGATCTCTCGATCTCAGTCTCTTTTCTCCTGTTTACGATCACATCTAACAGAACAAGTGTTTTGCTCGTGTGATTGATGAATCTAAAAAATATATAAGAGTGTTCTTATTTGCTTCTCAATTACATGGCAAAACGTACGACTAACGCAATTTACCAAGAAAAGCGAACAAAGAGGAAACGTTTATATTCGCGAAAAGTTACGCAATTAAATGGTAATAACACGAAACAATGCTCGGAATTATAAAGAACCACATCTACAGCGCAACCACAGAAATTGGATTTTCTTCTCCGATTGTTGTCTAATTCTCATGAACTGCACTAACTCGTCTCCACTAATTAGTATTGTTCAAAGATGTTGTTACATTTTGAAAATCTTACAAGTGACAGGTGATTTTGTCAGACGTAGAGAATAATTTGGACTGTCCTTGACATAGGATTTACAGGAGTTCCTCGACGGTGCAGACGCGGGGTTCATCTACTTCAGCTTGGGTAGCAACGCAAGAAGCTCGGATTTGCCGATGGAACTTCTCCAAATGTTCTGCGACGTGTTCGCCAAGTTACCCTACAGAGTCGTGTGGAAATTCGAGAAGGAACTAGCCAAAAAACCTGCCAACGTTTATATCGGCAAATGGTTCAGTCAGCAAACCATCCTCGGTATAACCTTTTCCTTTGTAAACTAGTTGCATCCTAGTTAGACTCTAGTTACATTCTGCCATTTGGTTGAAAAGGGGGAATTATATGACGCATTATACTGTTCTCTAGCTCATCCGAAAATTAAATTGTTCATCACGCAAGGTGGTCTGCAAAGTACCGAGGAGACCATTCACTTTGCAGTTCCAGTTATTGTTTTCCCAGTGTTGGCTGATCAAGATTATCAAGCAAACAGAATGGATGCTCTTGGTACTGGAAAACGTCTGGAAATCACAACTGTCACGAAAGCCGAATTCGAAAATGCTGTTCAAGAGGTGTTAACTAATAAAGAGTAAGTATACATTAAGTATATACAAATACATTGCACTGCGTTAGGAATTTAAAGGTGTTACTGTTTTGTTAATTAATTACGTCATATTTGTACAGCACTTTTTCTGTCATTATATACATTATAATGTACAATAAGTAAGTATATATTAGGTATAATTATATATTATTAATATATTATAATGATATATATAATATATCATTATAATATATTAATAATATATTATAATGATATATATAATATATATTAATATAATATAGTATTATTAATATATTAAGCATATTAAGTATATACTGTTCTGTGTTATGAATTTAAAGATGTTATTGTTGTATCGTTTGTCTACATCGAATTTGTACAGGTATTTATCTGTGGCTTGGATAGTTGTTCCTTTGGTATCATTTTATTGTTCATTTGTCACATATTTTGGTATCATATTAATTACGAAATTACTAGCTTCTTTTTCACTAGCACATCGATGTTATGTGTATAACTCTGATGTATATAATACTGATGTGTATAATATTTTTACTGCTTGATAGTTATCTTAGTGTGACACAGTCAATTGGCGTTTCACGTTAGATCGCATCGTTTACTCATATCTTACGTACAATAAATCAGCACACATTACTAAAGTTGGAATAAATTATGTAGACGAGTACGGTTTGACGTTCATTATGCAACTGACATTTGTTGCAATTAATCCTAGACACGATGAACGTTAACACCGAGTGCATTACGAGATTGTGAAATAAATATTTGCAAAATTGGAATGTTGCGAAAACAAATTTGAAGAATGTTATATAGTATAGTGAACGAGCTATGGAGGGCACCTCAAATTGGAGCAACTTTGTTCCTCTCCTCTCGAAATTACTTCTCAATTTCTCTTTCGATCTTTTCCCCAGAATTTACCAATTTAAATAAAAATATACAAACAATTACTTGTGGAAAGGTGATGAATATTTCACCTGTAATTTTTGCATTTCTATCGAATTTCACGCATTTTTGGCCATAGAAGTTTGTTCAAAATAGCATGAAGCGCCTTGTATGGATGTTCTAATGTACTTAGTTCAACTAAATTCACCTAGTGTAACCTAACCTAACTTAACCTAACCTTTCTTTGTCTTCTTTCCTTTTACGTGGGGGAAATCTTCAGAAGATACCCTACCTCCCTAGGGGAGGAGGTGGAGTTATGTGAGATTTCACCCCATTAAAAACCTAACCTAACCTAACCATCTTTGGAACTATTATGATGTATAATATTATATTATTCAATGTTACTTCTATTATTAATATATGCACTTCATTATATTTTCTTTAGAATTTATATGAAACTTTATACAATTATAAAAATGAATATATTCTTATAAATATTCTGGTGAGAATTTCAAAAAATGATCTACATCTTATGTACGATTGCACAAACTATTGTAAAAAATAATTTAATATGATCTTATACCATTGTATAATAACATACCAAAGTATATTCATTATACTATACCTTATTCAGTATTTTATATCATTTTATTTTGATTGTAGGTACAAGGAGAGGATGATTAAAGTTAGAAATCTCACCATGGACACACCCTACGATCTCGTGAAAAATCTTGTATGGTGGACGGAATTCGTGGTCCGATCGGACGGTGCTCCTCATCTTCGTTCCAGTCTGGCCATGCAGCCTTGGTACCAATATTGTGACATGGACATCGTAGTGTTCCTTACTATCGTCACCTTCCTAATCGTTTCAAGTGCACTTAGCCTAATTGCCAAGCTTATCGTGTATTCCTACAAAACGTGGCAGCACTCTTCACATCAGAAACAAAAAATAAGCTAATCGAACCCGGAATGTGCGTATACTGAAACGGACAAAATGTTAAATATTTTTTCCGAACAAAGGAATTTTAATCGAGATCTGTGGGCTAATGGTTTCTGGCGTAATGAAAGAACGATTTTACGTTACAAGATCGCAAACAGCTAAGAAGTGCGTGCATCTGCTGAATGCATCCGTTCGATGACCAGTGAAATGTCGTCATAGTTAATTTTTAAATTCCCTTTGCGGAACTGTCATGACTGTATTGATTGCAAACACACCCTGACAGGTTAGATTTTGACAAGCTGCATCGTGTAAATAGCAAGTACATATCGGGATATGGTTCTAAACGTCAAACTACGTCTCTGAATCTTTGACTGCTGCTTTCTCGAGGAAGTACGTGCTGATTGCTTCCTGTTAAGGAATATTTATACTTAATTGTATATCTCTTTCTTATTAACAGCATTTCAGGGTAAAATGGAGACAATAGTTGGACGGACTGAGTGCTTCCGGAAGATTTATGATAAAATTTAAATCTTCATTCAGGAATAGTGCTCGATAGTGATTGTCATTGTCATATCGTTATCGACTAATTCTTTAGAAACGCGAGGTTTCGGACTCGTCTTGATTGATTATGAAGGAAGCGATAAATTTATGCATTTCGACTTTCATTTTTGTACGTATGTGTCATAAATTTGTATCCAAAGTCTCTCAGGCGTTTTGTTATTAATTTGCGGACTTTGGAAGTGGAAGTTGCGTAATCCCTTGAGGCGATGTAGTAAATGATTTGTGTAATAATCTATGTAAAATTGGAACAGTCTGAAAATTAGGAATGAACATAATGAAAAATTAATATTAAAAATGTTAATCAATAGTAACCGTAAATCTAGTAATTTTTTACTGAACTTTCTATTTTTATTTCTATGCGCTAATATTTTTCTACGCGTTCTTAGCATAGAAATAGTGATAAAAAATCATACACGTAGGCGTAAGTAATTAGATGTTTTAATTGTAATAGAAGTATGAATTGCATGTATTGTTCTTCTTTAATTCCATATAAGTATTAAATACAACGATTTAATTTGACAAACAAAAGACCTGTTTTGGTTTACGTTAAGTCTGAATTAGGTTCTATTTTTTTGAGTAAAATAGATGGACACATCAATTCCTTTCCTAAAGTGTTTTACTTTTCCCATGTTAATTCACGTAATATCGAATGTGCATGCATCTCCAACTCCAACTCCTAGTGAAAAGGACTTTTATCATCTAATGTTGGTAAATCTTGGCGTTTACCAGAGATGTTGCATGAAACAAGGAAATAACAGCGTTTATAAATAGTTATAGAGCATTTGTCATATCACTGTGATAAAGCCTAGAGATTAACGGGTTATCAGAGTTGCGATTTCAATTACTTGATAAATACTCGAATTACATAATGTTACAGTAATAATTACAATTATCGTTTTCCAATGTCACTATATATATTTCATTTGCATACATCATACATAGTGGTGCAATAGTGTATCATAGATAGATAGGAATATAGATATTATACGATTAAATTTTATATTTGTTCGATGATTATGCATAGAATAATTTGAAAATATCAGGAATTTTAAGTGGGAAATCTAAAATATAAAGGGGTTACTGGAGTCACGTCTTTTTATGAAATTTACAGATGAAGAGCATTTAGTTCATAAAAAGTAATATTCTAAAGTCTAATCTTGAAGATAAAAACTCCCATGTATATCTTAGCTCAGTAGCTCATAATTACGTAAACAGAACAAAAATTTTTAGAAACGGTTATAAGAGTTGCTGTTTCGCTAAATTTTATAAGAACGTCTTAAATATTTATTGAAAGAGAGAGAAATGCCCCGATCTTCTGCGGTCCATCATCAGCTAAATCCGAAGTGCTAAAACCTAATTTCCTAAATTAAACTTTTGTAGGACGTTTCGAGTCCGGTAATCCCAGATAATAAGGAACACTGAACACTGATCACAATTGAACACCGAGCAATAAAGTATTCTGCCCTAGAGTCTTGGTTGCTAAAGGGCCTAAACGGGTCTTCTATGTCTGACGTATTATTCCACACAGGAACAATTCAGCTATAGTACCCGAATTAATAAATGTCATTCACTCACCATCCTCACAATATATATAATATATAAAAAATGTGTAATCTGTCAATTGCATCCATATGCCCAGGTTCAGGTAACTACACGATATTAAAAATAACTAAAAATTCGCGAATTGCCATTTTATAAGGTAAACATGATATTTACGATGACAAAAGAAATTTTTAAAATTTCGATTTTAAGGTGATAATCTAATTACGTTTCCTGCCACGAAGAGAAAATAAACTATCGGAATTCTTCTCTACATCTGTTGAATGGATAAACCTGTTATGCAAAATGTGACACTTGCTGTCTCTGTCAATTAAGTCAGTTCGAACATCCTAACCTGATCGACTAGATAGCAGATAATAGTAAAAACATCAATTCAACACATCACTATTTCGTAATGTATGAAATTTAAAGACTTATTGATTACATGATATCTAGTTAACATTGTATAGCAAACGATAATCAACAAATAATATTTTATTTTCGTATCTCGTCAACAATATCTTTCTTCCCATCATACATCATCCGACTTACCGCCCACAGTTTTTCTCAGCGATAAACTTATCGAATAGTAATGCATACAAAAATATCGTAGCATTTGCCATTTGACCGATCACAAAGATATTGTGGAATTTCGTAACTATGTGGCGACACCTGTATCGCGACATTTTCCCGTCTCAGCAGAAACTGCAGAGAGTTACCTTGGACCTTTACCACCTCTGCTGGACCTCATGAAGGACGTTAGCGCGTTTTTTCTCGATCAGTCCGACGTTTTGACAGCTGCCCGTCCGAAACTCGCCAACGTGATCACGTTCTCTTCCTCTCACATGGAAGAAAATCCGGATCCTCTGCCAAAGGTACGACTTGAAATACAATTTTATAATTCCCGCGGTGATCACGACAGTGGCCCAAATCATATGCGTCTCCTATCGAACTATTAATAACTTCCCGTTTCAAATACAGTTGGTTGCATTAATATTCAGACACCGTTGTAATTTTGATTTTTATATGCCGTAGTTCAAATCAATATTTAGGCACAAACAATTCAAAGCTAGTAAGTTGAACCCATGTCCGACATTGTAAACGATAATATCTGCAGCATAATTCCAGAGTATATATCTTTCTTGTCAATTTTTGACTAATTCTCTCGAACTACAATAACATATCATCAATTATTATTCATATTCCTAGAAGTTATTATATTTCAAACCCATTTCCAGTGACAGATCATTTTGTCAGACAAAGAGGTTCACTCGAATTATCCTATCTATAGGTAGTAAAACCATATTAATGCCATATTGAAATCATATTATGACCATAAAAGTCCTTCATTCACATTCCTTCATTGCAGAATTGACGTTTTCACGGCTAAATCCAAAACCGCCATAGTGCCAGAGTGAAGAGATATTCTCAAGTTGCGCATTCCGCTATACCACTCAGCACATCAAATACTGTCACTCGAAATCCAGTGATAACATTTTTAAAGCGTAGAGTGTACCGATATCGTATTATTGTCAGCATTAGCATTGCGTAAGTGGGGAGTAACTGGTAGCTGCCCGTTTTAACAGAATCGTTATCGACACTTGAGGCAGTTTATCTTAACACGAGAAGCATGAAGCACGCTGTCGTGAGTCTGTTCATTGTTCTGTGCGTGCTGTGTTTCACGAAGCAGACGGAATGCTACAGGATACTGGCCATCGTCGCGACGCCATCCTACAGCCATCAGGTCCCGTTTTGGCGATTATGGCTAGAATTGCACGAACGAGGCCACGAAATTGTGCTGGTCACCACGAACCCTATATCGGGAATCAACTCTCTGAATTTTACCCAGATCGACATTAGCAGGAATTCCGGACAATTAGGCCAGATGAACTTGGTGGAATTGAGGTTTGATGGAAGAGTATGGCACAAAATCATGGAGGACGTATTCTTGGAGAAGTGCACTGATTACGCCATACCAGTGTTCGAAACCCCGCAAATGAAGAAGCTCTATGCTCCAGACAGCAACGAAAGATTCGACGTTTTCCTGACGGAGTTCCTCTACACACCGTCCCTATATGCATTTGCGCACAGATTTAACGTGCCCATAATAGGTATTTTGACATCAATTTCAGTCACCTCATCTTTGTTCCGTAGAATAGTTCCACGTGTTCGAACGGTTTAACCCTCTGGCCTACAACCACGAGTGAGACTCGTGGTAATGGATGTGGGCCATAAGTGAAAACCACGAGTCCGACTCGTGGTGAGGAATTTGGGTCATAAGCGAAAACCACGTGTCTGACACGTTGTGAGGAATTTGTTCCATTAATATTACACAAGAGTCGAAGTCATGGTACTTCGTTGCGCCGAAGTATACATGTCATAGGAAGTATACATTTTGCGCAAGTTCGGGCACACGGCTGAACAGGTGAATGGCTCGGCGCGCCACCGACCTTCTTATTTACTATAGTCCGCGCAATCGGGAAATAGCACGTAGGTTAAGGTCATAATGAACAAGATCGACATGCGGGCACGACATACCGACGGACATACTGAACCAAATCTGACAAAATGGTCGTTCTCTAACTGGAAGCATCGGCAGTCGCAGTCACGGAAAGCGGATAGCTCTGTTTCATCAAAGCTGTCCTCGAGATTTATGGAAGTAGTAACGAAATCCCGTCCACCTGTCTGTCTCCATCGTACTACTTTAATTATTATTATGTAAATGTATACACCAGATATAACTGCGCAGTGCAAGTAAGTAAGTAGTAAGCATCGTTACGACGTCCATCATTCCATGGTCTCAGGATCAGCTTTGAAATTCTTTGCCTTGGAATCGAATAGTCAAGATTCGCTATATATTTACAAGTAAAAACGTCTACTTCTTTGAACGAATCGAGGTGGACACGTAAATGAATTGCTGCTTATAAGGATATACGAATCGCGAATATTTTTCACCTAGTATTTGATACGGTACAGAAAATAGTATCAGGAGGATAAGAAATACTTTCTAACAGATATAGTGAGAACGGCATTAACATATGTTGCTAATCAATTTTTACATCGTCGCAGCGCTAAGTTCATTGGGGATGATCTCCCATAATGAACACACCCTTGGCGGAATAGTGCTTCCCTCTCACGAGTACGCGTGGGAATCGCAAGCGAACACGGGCCCGAATTTGTCTTTCACACAGAGGCTGTTAAATTTCATATATATGTGGCGATTTCTATACATCTTACATCGGGACGTGTACCCGTCTCAACAGAAACTGGCAGAGAGTTACCTTGGACCTTTACCTCCCCTACTGGACATCATGAAGAACGTTAGTGCGTTTTTCATCGAACAATCCGACGTTTTGACACCTGCCCGACCAAAACTAGCCAACATGATCACGTTTACTTCCACTCACATAGTAGAAAATCCGGATCCTCTGCCGAAGGTACGATTTAAAATATAATTTTACAATTTGGATCATTATGACAGCAGTCCAAATCATGTGTTCCGTGTTCAAAAAAGAATATTTTGGCTTTCGACCAAAGTTACTCGAATTAGTATTCGGATACCATTATACCCTTAATTTGCATATGTCATAGTTCAATTTAATATTTAGGCACATGCCGTGGTTACCGTAAATAAGTTGAATCGATATCTGGAGTATAAAACGCTAATGTATACTGCATAATCTTCGAAATTACATCTTTATCCTGTGGATATTCGGCTAATCCTGTGGAACTAGAGTAAAACCTATTCGCTCATTATTATTATTATATTATGGATATTATTATATTTTCAATATGATTTAACTGACAGGTTACTTTGACAGACGAAGAAACTAATTCAAATTGTCCATGACATAGGATTTGCAAGAGTTCGTCGACGGTGCAGATGCGGGATTCATCTACTTCAGCTTGGGCAGCAACGCAAAAAGTGCAGATTTGCCAATAGAAATACAACGAATGTTCTGCGACGTGTTCGCCAAGTTACCGTACAGAGTCGTGTGGAAATTCGAAACGGATCTAGTCGAAAAACCCTCCAACGTGTACACCGGCAAATGGTTCAGTCAGCAAGCCATCCTCGGTATAACCTTATCCTTCGAGAACTAGTTACATCCTAGTTAGACTCTAGTTACCTTTTTCCAAACTGTTGAAAAGGGGGAATTATATGATGAATTATTCCGTTCTCCAGCTCATCCGAAGGTTAAACTGTTCATCACGCAAGGAGGTCTGCAAAGTACCGAGGAGGCCATTCACTTTGGAGTTCCAGTTATTGTTATCCCAATATTGGGTGATCAAGATTATCAAGCAGCCAGAGTGAATGCGCTTGGCATTGGGACACGTCTGGAGCTCAGAACTATCACGAGAGACGAAATCGAAAATGCTGTTCGAGAAGTGATAACTAATACACAGTGAGTATATATATAAATTAAGTCAATATTGGAATATTGTACTACGTTAAGGATCAAAAAGTGCTTTTGTCGTATTATTTACTTATGTTAATCATCTACAAACATTAAGCTCTCATTTTGTAATTACTTCTTTAGTGTCATTTCATTATTTCTTTAATGCGAATTTTGATATATGTTTGTGCAAATGTTCTTAGAAAATTTTCTGTATTATAATACATAATTGAAGAAATTAAAAAAGAATAAAATATTTAATGAGGTATTAAACGTTTATATAGTAATATAGTATAATATACTGTTTACACTATATCTTATTCGTTATCTTTTACCATATTACAATTTATTGTCTCTAGGTACAAAGAAAGGATGAGTAGAGTTCAGAATCTCACCAAGGACGTACCCTACGATCTCGTGAAGAATTTGGCATGGTGGACGGAGTACGTGGTCCGATCGGACGGTGCTCCTCATCTTCGTTCCAGCTTAGCCAAGCAACCTTGGTACCAATATTGCGACATGGACATCGTGGTGTTCCTAACGATTGTCACTGTCCTCGTGGTTTCAAACGCACTTAATATAATTGCCAAACTTTTCGTGTACTCTTACAAGAGGTTTTACTCCTGTAATTCTCAGAAGCAGAAGGTGAACTAATCCAATGCTGAATGTACTCATACAGTTACCCCAAGGACGATTAAATGTTAAATATTATATACTGGCAATGAGTTTTATAGTTCAATTAAGTGCGCTAATCAGTTTTGGGCCAGTGAAAGAAGGATTTCTCTCAGAAGATCGTAAGCAGCGAAGAAGTGCGTGCATCTGCTGAATGCTACCGTTCGAGGATCAGTGAGTCGTCGCCATAATTAATTTTTAAATTCCCTTTGCGGTGTTGTCGTGACTGCATTGGTTGCAAACACACCCTGACAAGTTAAATGGACAGTTGAATCACGTAAATAGCAAATACTTATCAGAATGTGGTTGTGAACGTCAAGCCACGTCATTTATTATTTGGCTGCTTCGGTGCAGGTTGATACCAATTGAAGGAAATTGACATTAAATTGCAAGTGTCTTTGTTTATTAAAGTATTTCCGGATTTCGGATCGTTGAGCAGAACGAATGTTTTTGGAAGATTAATAATAGAATCGTGTTTCTCCATTTAGAATTTATTTTCGATTGGCACCGTCATTGTCACATTACTTACCCTCCGGAAACACTAGCTTTACGATCGTCTTTAGCTGTTACGAAGGAGATTGACAGTTTATTGTTTTTTTCCTTTTTTCTGTCCTTTCTTACATCAATGCTTCATGAATCTGTGTACTCCCACTCCTTTTGGTATTAATTTGAGATCGAAGAAATGAAAGTTGTGTAATCCCTAGGGACGAAATAGAAATAGTTTGTGTAATAATCTCTGAAATATTTGTAACCCTCCCAAGTCAGGGAATGAAGATGATGAAAAATTCATGATAAAACGGTTAATTAATAAAAGCAGAATATCTAGTAATCATTTACCTTATTTTTTATTTTGATTTTTACTTCCTCGCCTTCTTCAGCACGTTCTGAGCATAGAAATAAGGATTTAATTAATCAAATTAGTGGCCTGTTTTGATTTAAATTACAATTAAATTCGATTTTCATTTAGTGTGTTACATAGACTTGCACATCTGTTCCTGCCTTAGTGTTTTGCCTTTTCTATAATGAGTTATGGAATATCAAACGTGCATGCTTCACACACTCTCATTCCTCGTGAAAAGGACTGTTACTATTTGTTGTTGGCAAATCGTGACATTTACTGAAAACATTGAACGAAAGTCGCAAATAGAATCGTGTATAAATTGTTATCGAACGTTTGTCACCTCTCTAATATAACCTCAGATTAACAGATTATCTGTATTGCTATTTCAAATGCCTGATAAATGTCAAAGGCAAAAATACCTGATACCTGTCACTGGGATAGGTAAGAATATAGGTTTTATACGATTCAATTTTATATTTGTTCAATGACAATGCATAGAATAAGTCGATGATAACAGGTGTTCCAATTGGGAAATTTAAAATACGTACGAAATACTTGGAGTCACAACTTTTCATAACATTTACATATAAAGACCAACTCGCTCATAAAAAGTCATTTGGTACAGGCTAATCTTTAAGATAAAAACTACCATGCGTGCTAATTTCGTTACATAAATGTCTTACGCAATCAGTAGAATATAATTACGTAAACAGGACAGCTATTTATAAATAACCGAAACAAGTATCGCTGTTTCGTTTAATTTGAAAGCAACCTCTTAAATTCTGGTTCGAAAATCGATAAACAAAGAAGAGTTCTTAAATTATATAAGGAAACTGACATATTGCTATCTTTAGACCTATTCCAGGATCTTGTAGATCATAAAAGAGTTGTAATGCAATATATAATATATGTAACATATGAAATCATACATTAGTATCCATATGCACAATTTCAGGTTATTATCATAAATATAAACAATAATTCGTTAATTGTCGCTTTAAAAGGTAAATATGTCATTTACAGTGACGTAAAATATTTAAAAGAAGTTCCGATTTGAAGACGATCTTCTGAATCACGTTTCCTGCCATTTAAACTTCATGAGGCGACAATAAACTGTCAAAATGCATCTTCATCCCTTTATGCAACTTGTGGTACTTTCTGTCACGTGCGTTTAAGTTAATCCTGTCACCTTAACTTGATCGATTAAATGACATGTAGAGGTCCTCCTTCAGGTTGATGGTGGCTGTTGCACTGCTGTGGCACGTAGCGCTGGAAGAGACGAACGGAAAGAGGAGGAGCTGCGTTTCGTCCCGGGCCTGTTATTGGATTTTTCAGTAAGGCTACATAGCAGGCCCTGCCTCAGACGAGAATACTAGAACCTGAAAATTCTATATATAGCAGGTTGTAGGTTTATCAAAAGCTTGCCAGAAATTTCTCAAACCTCCTTGAACCTGGAATCTCTCCAGTGCCGAGGGTCACAATGATTCCGCCTCAGGTACAATAAAATAAAGACATAAATTCACCACATGACTGATTCGTAACACAAAATGCAAGGTTACACTCAATATACAACATCGTGTTGACATTTCATAGCAAACGATATTCCACAAACAGTTTTTTATCTCGGTATCACGTGTATAACATTCCTCATATCATGCAGCATCCCATGTTCGTCCACAGAAAAAAGTGTATCTCAAAATGATATATTTAGATACACAAGTCAAATAAAAAATCCAATTATCGAGAAATATTTGATGTAAATATCACGAGGATCAGAAAGATCTTCGTTTTCTGTGAAACAATAGAAGCTTCGTTCGACTAAATAAACAAACGCAATCTGAATGCCTGTCAAACTAAGGATCGTTCGACTAGATAAACAAACGTAATCTGATTGTCTGTCAAACTAATCTCGGGAACTTCAAAGGAGCTTCAATTCTATTTCTTTCTTATAATTTCCAGGAATGAGAACCACGATTTGCAAAATATCCCATTTATAGATAGTAAAACCCTGCTAGCTGTCAATCCCTCTCCTTCCAGGACCGCAGGGTTTATGATAACCGGAGGGAGTGCACAACCCCCATGGCTTCAAACTGAAGAAATATTTTCAAGGAAGTGTTTCAGAAGTGAAACTGACACTCAACGTAACGGAAACTGTCATTAGAGGTTGCATCGGTAGCAACGAAGCTGAACCATTGGAAGAAATTACAGGGCAGCATACGATTGAGTGATAACGTCTACGATATGAAGTATGTACCGATACCATATCAACGTAACATTCGCACTGCATAAATTGGCAGCAACGCCTAACTGTCCGTATTAGTAAGACCATAATCGGCACTTTCGACCGTTCCTCTTGACACGAAAAGTATGAAGCACACCGTGACGGGTCTATTCTTTGTTCTATGCGTGCTGTGTGTCGCGAAGCAGTCGGAATGTTACAGGATACTTGGCATCATCCCGGTGCCATCTTATAGCCATCAGACCCCGTACCGGCGATTATGGTTGGAATTGCACGAACGCGGTCATGAAATTGTGCTGGTCACTTCGCACCCTATGCAGGGCATCAACTCTCCGAATTTCACCCAGATCGACGTTAGCGAAGGTATCGGAGTCTTGAGGAAGGTCAACTTCGTGCAGGAGAGACTCAACGGGAAGACATGGTGCAACTTTGCAGAGAAGGACTTACTGGAGCTGTGCGATAGGTTCGCCAGAACAGTGTTCGAATTCCCACAAATGAAGAAGCTCTATGCTCCAGACAGCAACGAAAGATTCGACGTTTTCCTGACGGAGTTCCTCTACACACCGTCCCTATATGCATTTGCGCACAGATTTAACGTGCCCATGATAGGTATTTCTGCAATATTTTGTTTAATTATACTTTCATTCCGTAGGTAACAGCTGTTCCAAGCGTTCGAACGATATAGTGAGCAATATCGATTAGCGAGCACGACGTATCGACAAACTTATCGAACTGAATCTGACAAAATGGTTGAAACGTCAGCACTCGTGGTTACGGAAAACGGATAGCTATTTTTCAGCAAAGCTCGCCTCAATATTTATGGAAGTAAAAGCGCAATTGTGTACACCTATCTATCTTCATCGTACTAATTTAATTATTATTATGTATACATATGCACCATATATAGGTGCACATTGCAAATCTGTCGTTCTGGCGCCTAGCGGAAACGTAGGGTATAAAATAGCGTCGATATCCCCTTCAGCATTCCATCGTCTAGAATTAGAATAGAAAATTGTCTTTTGTGATCAGCTTTGGAACCACAAATATCCCATTGTCTAGATTTGTGATCAGCTTTGAAATCACAAACATCCCATAGTCTAGATTTGTGATCAGCTTTTAAATCACAAACCTTCTATCGCCTAGAATTAGAATATAAAATTCTCCCTTGTGATCAGCTTTGAAACTCTTCTCAGTTTCGAGTCATAGAATAACGTCACAAGTTTGTAAATTTACTTTGTTGCACTATACGTGGTGGCAACATAATTGAACTGTTGCATATAAAGCCATACGTATCGCGAGTATTGTTCAACTAGGAAGATTTGCAGCGGTACTGAAAATCGAGGCTAGGTGATTTAGAATAAGTTTGAAGCTGTTTGTAGAAGTTTTAATAACGCACGATTTAAAATGTGAGAACGATCTTAACAAATCTGGCTAATCACGCTTTGTATGGCCGTAGCGCTAAGTTCATTGGGGATGTTCACCCTTAATGAACACGTCCTTGGTGGATTGGTGTTACCTTCTCACGAGTACACATGGGAAATGGAAGCAAATACAGGCCCGAATTTGTGGTTCACAAAAAGGTTGTGGAATTTCGTAGCTATGTGGCGGCATCTGTACCTCTTGCATCGTGATATATTCCCAGCACAACAGAAACTGGCAGAGAGTTACCTTGGGCCTTTGCCACCTATGTCGGACCTCATGAGGAACGTTAGCGCCTTCTTCCTCGATCAACCCGACGTTTTGACAGCTGCCCGTCCGAAACTCGCCAACGTGATCACGTTCACTTCCACTCACATAGAAGAAAATCCAGATCCTCTGCCAAAGGTACGACTTAAATTACAATTTTATAATTCCCGTCGGTGATCACGACAGTGACCCAAATCATATACGTCTCCTATCGAACTATTAATAATTTCCCATTTCAAATACAGTTGGTTGCATTAATATTCAGACACCGTTGTAACTTTGATTTTTATATGCTGTAGTTCAAATCAATATTTAGGCACAAACAATTCAAGGCTAGTAAGTTGAACCGATGTCCGACATTTTAAACGACAGTATCTACAACATAATTCCAGAGTATATATCTTTCTCGTTAATTCTTGACTAATTCTCTCGAACTACAGTAACACATCATCAATTATTATCCTTATTCCTAGAAATTATTATATTTCAAACCCCTTTCCAGTGACAGATCACTTTGTCAGACAAAGACTCTCATTCGAATTATCCATGACATAGGATTTACAGGAGTTCCTCGACGGTGCAGACACGGGATTCATCTACTTCAGCTTGGGCAGCAACGCAAGAAGTGCAGATTTGTCGATGGAATTACTACGAATGTTTTGCGACGTGTTCGCCAAGTTACCGTACAGAGTCGTGTGGAAATTCGAAACGGATCTAGTCGAAAAACCCTCCAACGTGTACACCGGTAAATGGTTCAGTCAGCAAGCCATCCTCGGTATAACCTTATCCTTCGAGAACTAGTTACATCCTAGTTAGACTCTAGTTACCTTTTTCCAAACTGTTGAAAAGGGGGAATTATATGATGAATTATTCCGTTCTCCAGCTCATCCGAAGATTAAACTGTTCATCACGCAAGGAGGTCTGCAAAGTATCGAGGAGGCCATTCACTTTGGAGTTCCAGTTATTGTTATCCCAGTATTGGGTGATCAAGATTATCAAGCAGCCAGAGTGAATGCGCTTGGCATTGGGACACGTCTGGAGCTCAGAACTATCACGAAAGACGAAATCGAAAATGCTGTCCAAGAGCTGATAACTAATACACAGTAAGTACTTGTTTCTTCGTGAACAATTGTACATGCAATCGACCATTTGAACGGATTTATTTTCGACTAATTCGAATTTCCTTGGTTCCATTCCACTCAATTCAAGCCATCGGGTTAAAAACTGTTTCATAATTTATAAGACATTTTTCAGTATCTTTACATCAATTAATATACATGTTTTATATTTATGTAAGATTTTATGCATAACTTTATATAATTACCGATATGTTTCTGTATATAGTCTTATATAAATTTTGTAAGGTTCCCTGTTATTTAATACATATGGAATGAATTATTCTAAAATAATTCGTATAAAATTTAATATGTAAAAGTATACAAAAATATATAATATAATAATACTATATATTTCTTGTGCTGTAAGCTGTTCAGTGTTTCTACCATTTTATTCTGATCGTCTGTAGGTACAAAGAGAGAATGATTAGAATTCAGAATCTCACTAGGGACACACCCTACGATCTCGTGAAGAATCTGGCGTGGTGGACGGAATACGTGGTCCGATCGGATGGTGCACCTCATCTTCGTTCCAGTCTGGCCATGCAACCTTGGTACCAATATTGCGACATGGACATCGTAGTGTTCCTTACTAGCATCACCTGCCTGATCATTCCATGTGCCCTTAATTTAATTTCCAAGCTTATCGTGCATTCTTACAAGATATGGCAGCTCTCTGCATATCAGAAGCGTAAAGTGTGCTAATTGTACGCGGTGTGTGCGTCTACAGTTAAAATGGCGAGAAGTTAAATACTTTATACTGATAAATGAATTTTATAGTCGAGTTAAGTTGGCTAATTATTTTTGACATTACGAAAGAAAGATTTCTCGTTAGGAGATTGTAAGCAGCGAAGAATTATCATCGTTGAAGTATATCCATAATTAGATCCTAAATTCCCTTTGCGGAACGGTCTTGACTATATTAGACACAAACACACCCTGACGAGTTAAATCTGATCAGTTGGATCGCAAAATTAAAAGTAAACATCGGGATACATTTCCGTTCGTTGAACGATATCACTGAATATTTGCTTCTTCCTCGAGGATGCACGTACTCATTGTTTCCTGTTGACGGAAATTGATGTTTAATTCGTAGCTTCTTTTTTGCTACAAATATTTCTGGATTGATTGGAGACGGTAGTTGACTGTCTGAGTGCTTCTGGAAGATTTATGACAAAATCGTGAATCATCATTCATGATTAGTCTTCGACTTTCCTCGTCGTTGTCATGTGATTAATTCTCTCGATACACTATGCTTATTAGGCTTCTTATTATGAAGGACATGAAATATTTATTCCTTCTTGTTTTTCTTTATTCCTGTGTCAGAAAATACACTCACGCGTGTGTAATTAGTTTAGGAATTTTAGAAATCGATGTTTAATTCTTCGGGACGACATATTGACAAATTTGACATCTCAAATTTTATCTGCTCAGTCTGTGTAATAAAATATTTTAACAGAGATATGTCATGAACGATTTGTCTTTCCTTATTACCATATAGGTATTAAACTTAATGATCGTATTTGACTAATTTATTTTAGATTTGATTGATTTATTTTGGGCATGAATTTGACTTCATTTCATTGTAACTCTTGGCATTCAGCGAAATTGTTTGATAAAATATTAAACTGAAGCGTTTAAAAATTGCTTTCGAACATTTATCGCTTCACTATGATAAAACCTAAGGTTAACAGGTTATAAAAGTTGCGACTTCAAATACCTAGTGGATAATCCTGTTGCATAATGTTAGGTTCTAACATATGTTGTTAAAAGAATGACACAATTATATGAACCTAACTTTCGTCTCGCCTATGAATATTGTAAAATTATCAATAGCATTGTTATTTTAAAATGTCGAATTATATATTTCATAAGAGTACATGATACATGTTATATATATGGACGATATGGAATCACTACACTGGAACACTCGAAAAGGTTACAGAATATTTATTTGTAAAATATCTCAATTTAATTCGATAGCTCAAAATCTAAAGAAAAATACTAGTCAAAATTCTAATCGCGCATGTTCATTCCGAAGGCTTTGCTTGAAGAGTAGAGAAAATTATTTTCGTGACAGCTGACAAGTTGGAATCGATAAAAATACAATTAGCGATGTAATTGTGTATAGTTGATGGAGAGGAATAAAAATTTGATAATGAAAATTGAAATATATATTTAAATAGCTATGGTCACAAAATTAGTCGAAAATTTAGAGAAAATTAAATAGAAAATTTAAAATATGAAAAGGATTATGTGTCAAAGTTTTTCTGGATATTTAAATACTAAGATCATGTCGTCCATTAGAGGGAATATTATAAATTCTAATCTTCCAGATAATAACTTCTGTGTTTATATATGAGCGTTTTAGGCAATCAGCACAGTATAATTACGTATACGGACAAGCACTTATGAATCACCGAAATGAGCGTTGCTGCTTCGTCAAGTTTGATAAAAACCTTTTGAAAACATATTTAAGAATAGATAAACGAAGCAAGGAAATTACGTTACATAAAGAAATCCGTATTTTATTCCCATTATATCTATTCCGGCATCTTGCATAACATAAAGAGGAAAAATAATGTAATATATTATCCACAGGACGTATGTACCCATGTTTACATTTATACCTATATGCAGATGATCAGACAGTTGCTAGAAATATAGGCAGTAATTCGCGATATGCCATGTTTAAAAATAAACGGGCCACTTAAACTGGCAGGATAAATTAAAAATATTCCAATTTTATGACAATATTCTGATTACACTTCCTGTCATTTTAACATGACATAGAGCCATTTAACTACCGGCATGTTTCGCAATATACGTTGACTGGACAGTCCTTTTATGCAACTTGTAATTCATGTCTAGTGAAATTACGACAAATCACCGTAGTAACTTGCATAATTAAAAGACACTGCGTAGTAAAAACATAAATTCATTACATCACAGTTTGACGAACATTATGCAATGTCATGCATAATAAGCAATATTGCATTAACATTGCATACAACACGACTACCCGTTATTAATTAATATCATTCAATATTCTACTCATCGCCCACAGATTTCCACGAAAAAAGTAACTCAAAATAATATAAATAATAGTTACAAATGCAAGACAAATAATATATCCAAAAATAAAAATTTAATGGAAAAGGAATAAATAATAATAAAACAATAATTCAAATTTAATTTAAACATCATAGAGACCAGGAGAAGCTTCGCTTTCTATGCAAAATACATAACCTCAATATTGCACACATTAAGCTCCTGAATCTTAAAATAGCGCCAACACCAATTCCTTCATAATTAAAGCTTCAAACTTGCCTACCCACGAAATACTATCAACAAATTAAAAACACAATTGGCTGATAATTCCGTTTATCGCCAGTAAATTCATACTAAATTTTCTCTAACCCTAACCTAACCTAAAAAAGCTTAACATAACCTAACATAACCTAACCTAACCTCAATACTGCTCACATTAAGCTCCTGAGTCTTAATATAGCACCGACACCAATTTCTTCAACTTCAAAGCATCATCCTTGTCTACCCACGAAATATTGCCCACAAATTAGAAACACAATTCTCTGATAATCCCGTTTATCGTCAGTAAATTCATACTAATCTTTCTCTAAACCTAACCTAACATAACCTAACATTTCTCGCTGCAGGATCACGGGACTGATATTAACAGGACTGGATATACAACCGTTATTGTGTCACAGTGAATAGATATTCTCGTGGAAATGATAAAGTTGCTGCAATGTTTGGTGTCCCAACGAAGCTCGACGCAATGACCACTGCCGTTGTGAAAACTGCAACGATTTTGTACCAGCAGGTGGAACGTTCGGCCTAGCTATGTTTCAGTGATAACGTTTTTGAAATGAAATGTACAACGATACCGTATCAACGTCGAGGTTGGCATTACATAAATTGGCAGTAACGCGATGTGCGTCTTAGTATAACGGTACTCGCCATTTATAACAGTTGGCCCTCACATGAGAAACATGGATCACAGTGTCACGAGCCTAATTTTCTTTCTATGCGTGCTGTGTGTTACGACGCAGACGAAATGCTACAGGATACTAGCCATCGTCTCAACGCCATCCTACAGCCATCAGATCCCGTATCGGCGATTATGGTTGGAATTGCACGAACGCGGCCACGAAATAGTGCTGGTCACCACGAATCCTATACCAGGCATCAAATCTCCGAATTTCACCCAGATCGACATTAGTAAGAGCTTCGCAACCTTAAGGACGACAAACTTCGTGCAGCAAATGCTCGAAGGACAAACATGGACCAATTTCGTGATGAACGAAATGTTTGACCTGAGCAAGAATTTCGCCAGATATGTCTTCGAAGCCCCGGAAATGAAGATGATCTACGCTTCGGATAGCAACGCGAAGTTCGATGTTTTCCTGACGGAATTAATCTATGTGCCAGGCCTCTATGCATTTGCGTACAGATTTAACGTCCCCGTGATAGGTACCGATGCCAAGTTTTCTTTGAAAAATTGTATAGTATCCATAGTGACCGAAATCGAAACGCGGGAAGGACATAGCGACAGACTTAGCGAACTTAATCTGACAGAATGGTTGGTCCCGAATCCTGTAAGCATGCAATTATTTTTCGATAAAGCTCATCTTGACATTTATCAAAGTAGATGCGTCATTGACTACATTTGCATCCATTTTTCGAGAAGTAGCATGAAAAGTAAAGTTGCTATCTCTTTAATTAATGTATAAGAAATAGGGTTTCGGGATTAGCTTTGAAACTAGTAGTCTCGAATTCGAATAGTCATGTATCGTCTCAAATTTGAAGTAAAAACGTTTACCTTTTGACACGACGCATGGTAAACTCGCAATTGGTCTGCTGTTTCTAAAGACATACGTACTTCGAGTAATTTGCAACTTGGCAGATTTAATACGGTTCTAAAAGCTCGAGTCAGAGGTTAAAAATTTGGTTAATTCGAATCAACTTGACTTTATGATCGTCGTGAATGGATCAAAACGTAAGAAGAATCTCGACTAAACTATCTAATCATACTTTGTATGATCGTAGGGCTAAGTTCAATGGGTGTGACCTCCTTCATTGAACACGTTCTTGGCGGATTGGTGCTGCCCTCTCACGAGTCCACGTGGGAAATGCAATGGAACACGGGCTCGAATTTGCCGTTCACGAAGAGGTTATCCAATTTCGTAACCATATGGCGATTGATCTATTACATGTATCACGATTTATTCCCGGCTCACCAGAAACTGGCAGAGAGTTACCTTGGGCCTTTACCCCCTCTGCTAGACATTGTTAAGAACACTAGCGTGTATTTTGTCGATCAATCCGACGTTTTCACATCGGCCCGACCGAAACTCGCCAACATGATCACATTCACTTCCTTTCATATAGAAGAAAATTTGGATCCTCTTCCGAAGGTACTACTGGAAAAATGATTTCATTATTTATGCAGGTGACCACGACAGTGATCCATGTCAGATATATTTCGTGTTTCAAATACAGTTACTCGAATTAACATTCGAACGACAGTATAATTTTTACCTCTATATACCATACTTCCATTCAATATTTGAGACGACATTTTTCACTAATTATTCTGAACTATTCTGAACTACTCTAACTCGTCTTCACTTATTATTCTGGTTCCCAGAAATTATTATATTTTAAATATTTTTAAAGTGACAAGCTATTTTGTCAGACGTAAACTGTCGTTCGAATTATCCTTCTCACAGGATCTACAGGAGTTTGTCGACGGTGCGGACGCGGGGTTCATCTACTTCAGCTTGGGTAGCAACGCAAGAAGTGCAGATTTACCTATGGAACTTCGACGAATGTTCTGCGACGTTTTCGCCAAGTTACCGTACAGGGTCGTCTGGAAATTCGAAACGGAGCTAGACGAAAAACCAGCTAACGTTTACACAGGCAAATGGTTCAGTCAGCAAGCTATCCTCGGTATAACCCTATCCTTCGTGAACTAGTTACCTTCTAGCTAAATTCTAGTTACATTTCAGCGATCGGTTGAAAAATGGGAATTATATGGCGAATTATATTGTTCTCTAGCTCATCCAAATATTAAACTGTTTATCATGCAAGGAGGTCTTCAAAGTACCGAGGAGACCATTCACTTCGGAGTTCCAACTATTGTTTTCCCAGTGTTGTGTGATCAAGATTGTCAAGCAACCAAAATGGATGCCCTTGGCATTGGGAAACATCTGGAAATTGGAACGGTCACGAAAGAAGAATTCAGAAATACCGTTGTAGAGATAATAACAAACAAGGAGTAAGTATATATTAAGTATATATGTAGGGATACTTGAGATTGGCAAATATAAGGAATAAAAGATGTTGGTTTATTACAATATATTATTTATTACGAACTAAATGAGACTTAGGAGTAAAGTACAAACTTAAATACTAGAGTAATAACTGATATGACCACGCAACTAACACTCGTACATCGACTCTTCTTCAAACTCCGTAAAGGAATATCTTATGACAGCCCTTGCACCTCTATTTAAACCTACTCTCTCCTACGCATTCTTTCTTCCTTGTCCACTCGTATCTTTAGCGACCTGGCCCCCGATGGACCAGGTACTCCAAACACTCAGAGGCATTCTTAACTTTCGCACATTGTTCTCACTCGATACAATCATGAATATCCCGTTCATTCGATCCTTGTGCGCAGTTACTCGTCCTTCCACATGCAATTCAGACGTCGCTCTAAACATTCGACCTGAACCCTAGGCTGCTATTTATTGCCCATCATCAGCTAGGTAGGCCCAAGTGTTCCTTTGCGCTCACTCTCATACCCTAGCATTCCTACATATATAGGTGTTTTACTAGACATATATTGCTACGTTAAGAATTTAAAGGTGTTTTTATTTTATTATTTAACTATATCGAGGTATTATTGTGCATGTCTGTAGTTACAAGAAGAGAATGATGAGATTTCGGAATCTCACCAAGGACACACCCTACGATCTCGTGAAGTATTTGGCATGGTGGACAGAGTACGTGGTTCGATCTGACGGTGCTCCTCATCTTCGTTCCAGTCTGACCAGGCAACCTTGGTACCAGTATTGCGACATGGACATCGTGGTGTTCCTGACGATTGTCACTATTCTCATCGTTTCAAACACACTTAGCCTCGTGGCCAAACTTATCGTGTACTCTTACAAGAGGTTTTACTCCTGTAATTCTCAGAAGCAGAAGATAAGCTAATCCAATGTGAAATGTACTCAGCCAGTTACATCTGACAGTGTCAAATGTTAAATATTTTATACCGACGAATGAATTTTGTACTCCACTTATGTCGGATAATTATTATTGGGATAATCAAGGAGCAATGTTTGATTAGGGGATCGTAAGTATCGTAGAGGTGTGTGCATCTGTTTGATGAACACTGAACTGTCGCCACCGTTTTCTTCCAAATATTCTGTACGGTTTTGTCAGGACTGCATTGGTGTGGACATTCCTTGACGAGTTGACTTTGGTTAGTTTCGTGAGTGCATATCGAGATATGATTCTAAACCTTGAACCACGGACAGACACTGTTTCTGGTAGATTTATGGTGAAATATGTGTATCTTCATTAAGTATTAAACATTAATTAAGTATTAAACACTTGACTAATCCTTTAGACACACTGGGTCTACGACGTTTCATGCTGTTGTGAAGGAGTTGAAAAATTGATTCCTTTTTCTTCCTCTTGTTCTTTTATACAGACGATTCATTAATTTACGAACAGTCTTTAATTTGTAATTAATTTGGGAACTTTTCAAACCAAAATTGTTCAATCCTTTGAGACAAAACATGGACAAGTGTTTGTAATTATATTTGCACAATTGAAACACTCTTCATGCTAAAAATAAGAATAATGGAAAATTAATTTTAGTGAGGATAATTAAAAACAACGAGAATTCTAGGAGCTTTCTACTTTTCTCTTTATTTATATCGTGATGTTCTAATTTCTTCCTGTACATTCTCTGTATAGAAATAAGGAAGAAGTAGCATGCTTGTAAAGACAAATAATTGCACCTTTTATTAAAACATTGTAACAAAAATGTGAAATGAACATTGTTTTTGTTATTGCCATATGAGCATGATCGAATTTATGATAGTAATTTGCTTGTAAATGTGAGGTACTTCATGTAAGCTGTAATCAGAAAACAATTACAACATTAACCATAGAATAAATTTAAAATTTGGCAAAACACTTTTGACATTCTTCAATATTAAATTCAGACGGCGTAAACGGAACAAATAAACAGGGCTACCGTCTCTCTACTTTGCATCATAATCTTTTTTTTACATTTTATAATTTTGTTACAACTTTTTAATAATACTTCGAGCAATCTGCCTTTATATAAACTTTTTCTTTATACCACCTATAAAACACACTGGCGAAGTTTGACTGTAAAAGACCAAGTCTCAGTTTATAGGGAGAAAATTTGTTTTCGTGTATTTACCATGTATAAACATACAAAGCGATTTAATTTAGCCAACTGAAATTAGTTTTAAATTACTCCTATAAGGAAAATTATAAAAAATGTTTCAAATAAGAGTGGTTCAATGACAAGGAAAATATGTAATGAATAATTCACTTTCTGTTATATTTCATTTTTATGGAGCTTTGAAGAATATCCTGAATCTTTAACCATAACGTGTAACATTTTACCATATTTATAATAATTAATATCAATTACTGACACTTTTTAATTATAGTACCTTCAAGATTTTTCACTCAGTATTTAATATTCTGCTGAATCGTTTAATCAAATTCTAGATAAGTACATATCAAACATGATTTTCATATCACTGTAAAAAGACGAAATACTTAAAATCTGATCCTTGCATTTAATATCAAATAACTTACATTTAAAATTTATTCTTCTTCGCGAAGAACAGGTTGCAAGTAATTTAAAGTGACGGAGTTAAGTGATTTATCCTGTACATACTTAAAATTGTTCGTCAAAATACTCTTGGGATGGGAATAATCAGTGTCCCTTAACAAGCTATTCTACTTCGTTTTATTTTGTCGCGAGATTTTATTATCTTGTCACATTTCCTGTGTTGCGCCTCCCTGAAAAACAGCTCCCGAGAGTAATGTCACTTGAAACCCATCTTCAAGGATTTCAACTTCGTTTATTGGTGAATTGGATGACTGATTGGAAGGTTCGACTAGTTGCAAACGATTTAAAGCTTTCTGGCTTAAATGCTTCAACAAATTTTCAGCGACACGTTCTATTACCCCACGTAAATTTTCCTTTAATAATTCGTCATTTCGATAACTTTGTAATACATGAATATGGTGAAAACATGATTGATCAAAATTGAATTGAACCTCAGTAGCCCACAGGTAATTTTGTTGTTAATTTATGTAAAGATATGTTAATAAAAAAAAAAGGACATTGACATATTAATTTTTGTACCTATGTAGCATTATGTTCACATTGATATGATTATTTATTATTTCATTAATTTCAATGTTTACGTAAAACATATTAACGTTTGTTTAACATCTCCAAGAGTGTAATTTTCGCAGAAGATTGTAAGTTGCAAAAGGGGAAAGATTATTAATAATTTTGTCCATGGAATTGATATAAGTTATACTCTTTTCCAATTGCAATTCAAGACAACTGCAATTTTTTAATAAATTTGTTTCGCAGATTCTTCTTTGCTTGTAATAGTCAAAGGAATTTTCATTTTCTGTCTGACAGTTAAAATTTCTTTTTCTACACAATTTTTTAATAAATTTCTTTTTATAGACTTTCCTTCATTTAAAATTGTCAAAAGACTTTTCGCTGAAATTACTATCTCTTTTCTTTGAAACCTTTGTATATAACTTTCCTATAAATTTTTTTCATAGATTCTTTTTCATTTGGAGTGGTGAAAAGAATTTTCGCTTTCTGTTTGCGAGTTGAAATTGTTATTTCCTTTTCTGACCAATTTTTGCGTGTAATTTTTTGAGAGATATTCCTTTTTGCCTCTTTTGAGGATTCCTTTTTATTTGAAATGGTACGAAGTGTTTTCGTTTCCTGCTTGAGACTTAAAATTTACATTTCCTCTTTTGTCCAATTTTTGTTTATTTCTTCAGAAATATTTTGATTGTGATATAAATATCAAATATTCTGTATATTCATAATTATAAAATATCTTTTTTGCTTTTTTATGGATTCTTTCTTATTCGCGAGGGTAAACAAATTTTTTCACTTTCTATGTATATGTATTTTCTCGTAGCTCATGCAGATATCAAGCTGTATATGTACCAAGGTAGGTTACGAAGCACCGGAGAAGCTGTCCATTACACCGTGCCGGTTCTCGGTTCGCCGGTATTATCGGATCAAGAATTTCAATTGAAGATGCTCAAGTCTCACGGTGTTGCAAATCGCTTGGATCTCGAAACGTTGACGAAGGACCAGCTGGAAGCTACTATTCGAGAAATGATGAGTAATAAAGAGTAAGTTCGTGTTGGAGGGAAGAACTTTTATGGATGCTTTTACTTTGTTGAATCAAACTGTAAGAAAGAAGATTGTCTGACTCTTATTGACACACGCTGGGAAATTGAAAAGATAAAAGAAAGGGGCGGAATTTTCATCTTGCCGAAGATTTCATGACGCGTCTCTCGTATAATAAATAGGCAAAAATTCGTCGCTTTAACTTCGCCCGAACGTGACTAAATACTCTATTTTAATACTTCCAGTTGAAATTTCCTGCCACTTGCAATAAAATCTTGACACGTATTTTGCACAATGCAAGTGTTTAGCGAATGAATATTTATTGATATTGCATAATCGATGAATATGGTGAAATGAATGTGCATTCTTTAATATATTTATGAATGAGTACGTACTCATTATATAGTCATCTTGACTCTCTATTACATAATTCTTAACCTATTTTTATACATATTTATTATTATACATTTTCGTATCCGTAGTTGTGCTATTATTATTATTACTGCTACTATTATTACTTTTATTTTAATATTAATTTATTTATTAATACTATACTGTAATTTATTATACTATTAACATTATATTTTATAATATATTACTTTTTATCTGTATAATCATCCCTAAGGCACGTTCACAGGTGTCCGTGTAATGTTACGGACTAATCCATTGTTCTTGTGTTAAATATCTTTATTTCTAGCGTCCAACACTTTAAATTATACACCGTTCGTTAAAAAAACATTTGAAGCAAACGCTGTTCTCCGGTTTCACTTCAACCCTATTATTTTTCTTCAGTACGTAGACATTTTCTAACCTCGAGGATGCAAAGCGGCCAAATCGATTCTTGTCGTCTCCGACAGATGGCGGAAGAAATTTTCGCAGTCGCAAGTTCTATCTTCGTCTAATTCTTCCACCTCTTGGCCACTTTTTCGGGTACAAGGAGAGCATGATCAAACTTGGAAGACCGGTTAACGACACCCCGTACCATCCAGTGAACAATCTCGTTTGGTCGACGGAGTACGTGATCCGTGACAAGGGCGCTCCGCATTTTCATAGCAATTTGGCTTGGCAAACCATGCTACCAGCACGAAGATGTGGATGCCGTGGCATTTTTAGCGGCCGTTACGTTTATAGTTTTCTCGATTGCGCTCAGAATAAGTAGGAAACTTCTCGTACGCGTTTGCAAACGGTGGCGGAACACTTCTGTGAATCAGAGGGAGGGAGGAAGGTCAGTTAATCGTTCGAAAATAGCGAATGCCCGTTGCCTACGATGCAAATTTTCCTTAATTATTCGTACACATACCAATTTTTAAAAAAATTATGAAATATAATTAACTCTTGTTCCGTGTTTAAATATAACACGACCTTAAGAAATAGCTAATTTTGTATGCTGATTTTGTGACACGGAAAACAGCGCGTAATATTTCAAGGTAAATTGTTTTCTTTTTTCCTTAATTGCACTGCTTGTATAATTAAACGTTGGAGCACACGTTATATTACATAAATGGTTACATGCATATGCTTATTACAACGTAATTATATATCATTTGACCTTTCTTTTATCATAAATGAATACACAGAATTTGGAAGCTATCAATTTTCTAGTTACGCCACTTCACTCTACTATAAGTAGGACTATATGTAATGACGGAAAAATTAATTTCAATTTCATGAAACATTTCTGTTTGATAAATAGAAACTGGTATGGTGGTTGTTATTTTATTAAATACATATGTATTAAACTGGTATTAGATTTCACTCGATATTTGACCACATCACGTACGTATTGTCTCTTGGATTTATAAGTGCATCTATTACTGACGCCACAAGACACTATTGTTCAATGCTGTTCATTCTTACCAATCAAATGCTCGACTTTCTCTCTTCCTATTCAACGCTTCCTCGGTTCGTCTGAATAAAAATGCTAGCACGAAGCGTCGCTTGTGGCGCCACCTTAACTGACTCGCGAGCAAAGAGAATCGGAAAGCCACTTCATCGCAGTCGTGGCAAAGAGATTATCAGAAACCGATAAAGGCAGACATTTTCCTTCCTACTCGAGTACTTTCCGCTCGTACTTCCTCTTTATTTCTGCGTTTGATAACGCGCTGTCCTCTTCCTGCTTATCCTCCACGATTTTCGAGCTCCACCCAACTAGAGGCAAAGGCAAACGTCTTTAAGAAATCGTGATGTCGTTGAACGATAATGGAGACGGTTTGTCAGTGAAGTATCGAAATCAACTCGAGTATCGACGGCTAGAAATGAAGAGAAAGTGAGAGAATGGTGCAAACTGCTACGCCATTGTTTCGTACGATCTCTCGCGGTTATTGTTTCACACGTCGTCGCCACGAACTTTTGCAATTACACATAGCCGCCATCTCGAGAACCTTCCCTGTATCGTAAGACTCTTCTACGTATTTTAGAAACCATTCTATAGTATATGAGAGGTCACCTTCTTCCACCGCCATCTATGTATCCTTTCACGAGTAAGCTCTTCCACAGTCGAAAAATTTGTGAAAGTAATATCGTGCAAGCAATATGACAAGCGTAGTAAGAGGAAAATTACAAGACCATATAGGTAAAATAAGAAAATAATTCAATCATGTGCACGGTGTTATCGATTAACGTGTACATTGGAGATATCGACCGTGGTGGCGCTAGTGAGTTAAGTGGAACTTCTCGCCAAGTGACAGGAATTTACGCAGTTCCGGGCATACGGTGGATAGCTAATCCCTCGCATGGGATTGCAGAGCACAGATTTCCGGCCTCTCTGCATATATTACACGTACAGGTAATATTTACTACCGGGAACAAGGGTTCTTGAGAATCTCCGACCGGCTTTAAGCTCGGCTGATTTTATTCTGTCCGATTTTTGACGACTTCCACGTTTCCGTTTGCATGGCTCCCTGCAGAAATCTGCTGCGGAGTATCGTAACTGTACGAAAATGGAGGTCTATTACGTTATTTATGAAAGGAAAATACACCTGTGAAGGTAAACGCAAGTGGCGCGCTGTAAAATGCAAGATAGAGTAAAATCATGGCTTCGGGAACATTAAGCTTCGTCGGGGTTGAAACTGAATTATTCTCCAGATTCAGGCAGCTCTTTTGTTACGCTACTTTCCTTTTATGAATTACTGTTCAAGTACCGGTGCGTGGTATTTAAAGAATTTCACCTTTTATCGTGGAGTGCAATGACGTAATCTTCGTTATGCGAGCATTTAACACTTGAACTGCTTGATATAGTCAGATTCTGAAAGTGTACAACTCCTCCTGACAAAACAAATTTTAATTTTTATTTAGATTAAAAGTTATGAATATTCTTGTGTATATTATATTACGTTATTATGTTTTAAATATATATAATATGTAGAAATATATTGAAAAATCTATTAAAAATAAATTAATTAAATTATGTAAAAGCTATATAAGGATATATATATTATATATTATTTTCATTCGTGAATGATGTGATTTCGTGAAACGCAAAGTCTGACCAATAGGAAGTCCTCAAATCACATCTTTCTTGCTCTCCTGATTTTCATGATTTACGATTAATAACGCGTTTTTTCGAGTCTCAAATAACGAGTTTGTCCCGTGTATCGCACATTTGCTTGGAAAATAGTGTAAAACTCGAAATTCGCCACTCAAAGTTCGCGATTTTCGCGGTACATATGTGCAACCCTAAAAGATAATTACGGGAGATTCCAGCACGGCACAGCGTGATCCATTAGTGTACTTTTTCCTTCTCTTGAGGCGACTGTCGACTGCATAGGAAGCTGTATAAACGTGATAGGCATTCGTGCATTTACGAGTCCAACCTCGATCCCCCTTATCTCTGCTTCCTCGTAGCTGACGCCTTATCTCGCCCCCTGCCATCCTGATCTTTCAATATGGATGGGGTTAAAACGCAACATGGACGAACGCCCGTTGAATGAAGCTTCTTCTCGCAAAATCGATATTGTTCGATGTTTCGTGGAAGAGAGAATCGCGCGGAGAAACAATGAAACGTGTAGTCGAGCAGAGTAGACACCGTATTTTTGAAATATCGTTAGGGATATAAAAATCAAATTTAATAAAGACGAATGGGAATGAAATTTTTATATAACCTATGTGAATTATCGACTAGATATTATTTTCAAACATAAATTTTAATGTTTCTGTATGTTAAATATAATTTAAAGATTTTATGACTGCCTAATTTGTTTTTAGATATGTATATATTTTGAAATGCTTTGGGATATCCATGATATATTTAAAAACTATTTTTTAAAAATAATAAGGACGATTAAGAATAAAATTCTTGTATTATCATTGTGAGTAGTCGGCAAGTTATTATCTCTAAACTTACATTTGAATATCTTTGAATGTTTATAACGATGAAATAATTTGAAAGTCCAGGTATCAAAGAGTTAGATCAATATTTTTGTGATCACTTTCAACGAGATATCCAGGAAATAATTTTTAAATTATTTTATTAAAATAATGGAAGTTGCATATAGAATGCTCGTGAATAGAAGTTGCGCATGATTTAAGATGAACGGATGCTTCTATATTTAAAATCTGTTGAGTTCTGTTACTTGTTAATGAATAGTCGATGATGTTGGTTCAATTCACTCGACCTTCCCAGATGCTATAATACTTTGCCACCAGGAGGCAGACTTCTTCAGTGTTCGTGGCCTTTGTGGGTCATTGAAGTCGACAGACACGATGCCAAACCGTTCACTGTAAATGCAATTATAATTACTTGATGACACCTTCATTTTTAATATTCGATTAATTTAGCCAATTTTTATCAATTAACTTAATTCGTCGACAAATAAAATTTCTCAGAACTAAGTATACAGAAAAATACTTTGATCAGTTTAATAATCTCAAATGCACATATTAATTATTCTTACTAATTTTACTACGTATAAAGGTACCTACTAAACTAACAGGTACATTAAAACTAACATCCTACAAATTACTTTTTCTGATCAGTATGTAGTCTCACTGAGCTGTCGAGGTACGATATATTTATTGTATCCCAAAATTCACGCGAAAAGTAATTTTTATAGAAAAAACATGATTTTAATTAAAAATTTCATATATTGCTCAACAATGAAGATGCGTTATTCTTGTACGTAACGCTCCATTTTTAATAACCCTGGACAGTCAGCTGTTACGCTGCATTTTCTGTACCGTCAGCAACGTTTTATCGCGAAAGTGGCGCAAAATTCTAATTTCACACGAATTTTGGGACATCCTATTCTCAGATACTTCGTGCTATTCACAGCATCAATTTTGAAATTTACAGTTCTATGATATTTACTGTATGACGCAATTATTGCCAAATGATGAACACTTACTGGTACCCCATGTTCCATTCGAAATTATCAAGAAGCGACCACAGGATGTATCCTCGTATATTCACGCCATCGTTGTAAATGGCGTTAAGCATTTGTTTCAAGTATTCGCGATAATAATTGATTCTGTCGTCATCATTCAATGCTCCGAAATCAGAAACACCGTTCTCCGTGATGTACATCGGTGGATTGCCATAATTCTCCGCCAACTGGCGAAGAACGAACCGAAAGCCTTCAGGTACAACCTGGAACGTGTGACTGTCGATTACTATACACGCACACCAATTACACTGGATACTAAAGTATGAACCAGAGGAAAGAAGAGAAGATAAGAAGAATAAAATCTGAGAACAACATTTCATAAAAATTATTTGAAAGTAGATAGCAATCCTGCTGCTCAAATGAGTTTTGACAGCATTTGCCCTGTTATAATTGTTCGTTCGAGCTCTCCTGAGCCAAGATGGCGTACATACTTGTCAGGCAACAGACTCGAGGTTCGCATGATCCAAAAGCAATAAGCATACCTTCAGCCACGTGGAAGCTGCAGGTTTCCAGAGTGTATCCACGATCTCTTTCACTCCTTGGTCATTCTCGTGAGATGGTACTTTTCCCATTGAGCCAGCTGTAACTAGCCTCGTGGTATAGTGATTGACGGCCAAAAAGTCTGAGGTTCCTCTGCAGGAGCAAACGTTACACTCGTTTCAACAATTTGTCACACCGAGTACCATAATAGGTACACACATCTAGCAGCAACAGATATATAATCAGTAATTTGAGATATGAAAGCAACGGTATCGATCAATGTTACGTGAGATCAATTTGTATCGGGTTCATCCATTTGCTGGCTAATACTGACGATGATTTGTGAGAAGCACGAGTTCTTTGAAAGATTCGAGATGCCAAACAAAATTCAGAGTGATTAGTAAACTGGTAGTAGGTAGTAGCTACTTAACTAACAATAAAATTCAGAAACTGAAAGGGCCAGACGCTGGTATCAACCTGCTCTACCTATATCCTTCGACCCAACTATTGTGTTATGATTCACGTGTACTCTGCAAGACTGGTCAGTTGACAGTTGACATTCGGGACGGATAAAATTAAGAGAAGTGTCAACCTTGATACCACTGAAGTTCATACCCCTAAATGCTTAATAGATATATTACGTAGACTCTTCTATCGTTTCATGCTGACTAATCAACGCTGACTCTATGCCTGTGCCAGTGCTTCATCTTTCCACCCCATTTGATCTCGATCGAGTCTTTTTCGCTATCCTTGTCATGCGTTGCAATGGACATACTTATATTATTGTGTGTGACATTTCTAGCCAGCGACACAAATGCGCATCATCTACCACTACGATTGTGCCAAGGATAGATATTCTTTCCAACTAACAGATTATCAGCATGTGTATTCCATACCGTATGTAAGTGACCCATTCCGAAGTAAAGGTTGGTAGACGAGATTTGGAGTAACCTTGCTCCATACTTTTATTAGCCACCAAGCTCTTCATTAGAGGAGGGTAATCGCCATCCTTGGAGTAGATAGGGTGCATCGTCCAACCGGCGTTAAACTGGAAATAATTCTCAACAGCGTCGATATCCGTGTGAGATCTGGGCATGCCAGCTATTATGCCTTTGTAGGTTTCCTTGAACTCGGCCTCGTAGATCCTGTAGGCTTTCGCGTGTGCCTTGATTACGTTGTGCGTGCACAGGTACTCGCCGAATCCGTTCAGAGTTTTGCCAGGCGCGTATATGCCGTGGGAGTAGCTGTTCTTGCAAACGGCAGAGGGTTCGTTTATTGGGATGAACATTTTCACCTTCGGCGCGTATTCGCGGAACACGACCCTAGCGTAATCGGCGAACCAGTCCACCATTTCGGAGTTCAACCAGCCACCGGCATCTTCCAGCACTTGTGGATGATCCCAGTGATAGATCGTTAACATGGGCTCGATGTTGTTCGCTAACAGCTCATCGATGAAGTCATGGTAGAACCGGACGCCATCTTTGCTTACGTAGTTCGAGTAGCCAGTTGGAAGAATCCTTGGCCAGCTGACGGAGAACCGGTACGCTTTGAACTGACAGAAAGAAGAATCGTTCGTATTACATAGACCTCGGTTTGACGCTCAAGTCCTGTCCGCTTTAGTGCCCGTTGTTGAAAACGCAAAGTACGGATTAAGAAAAGCTGTCAGACAGGACTTGACACCGATCTTCGATTCTTTCTAGTGTTCACCTATATTCCATCCCCTTTTTCCAGCTGAATTCGAGGAAATTACCTCCTCGCATAAGCGTCCGTGTATATGTCCGGGCTGCGGACATTTAACCGGACGCTACTGTTTATGACGATTGTGCGTGATTAAATTGGTGAAATTACCGACAATTTTGATAATAAATTCTTGATAAATGGACACTGGTATAATGAGAGGAAGCAAAGAGTGGGAAGATTGGATGAGAGCTATGGAAGGCGGAAAAAGCCTCTCGCTGTGCTGACACATGGAGGTTAAGCAGAAATTTTGGTTGGATTCAATTTTAAGTACGTAGTTTGAACTATTATATATGGAAGGTATAAATATTGTAATTCAGGATGGTATTGTTTCCAGTGCGCAGACGTTCGAATTTACAGGATTATTTACGTTTGAATTGCTCGGAATTCTGTCAAGTCCAGATGGAAATTGCGTCGTATCGCTGGAAACTCGACGCAGAGATTTTTAAATCGTGCAACTCCCCGATATGTTTTGGAAACTTTGTTACGTGAACATTTTAAACCGTCGCAGAACTCCAGAGTGACATTTTGACATAATTCCGTGTAACTTGAGCTGTCGAACTTCCTACAGCAGCTACGCGTACATACAGTTTTAGGAGAGAATGTTTCATTCCTTCTGCATAAAATTCACTACGTATTTCTATCCATTACTAACTAATTACTATTAAAATATTGTCAATTTCTCGCACTAAAACGTTACTACTTTTCTATTTATAATATCAACGTTCTTTTTTGTAAAGGTCCCGTCACTTCGATTCTACAATATGTACCATATATCAGTGGTTCCCAAACTTGTGGTTACGGATCAATTTCGAAGACGATCAGTTTCGCAACCCCACTCGTTTAGGGTATAAAGGGCTATAAAAATATTAATTTAATATTTAAAATGGATTGGAAAATATAATAATTTAATTGCTATCAACAATTAAAGTAATTTAATATTTTGACACGATTCGTTCAAGATTAACTCGGGATCCACACTTTGGAAACCTCTGCCATAAGGCGATACGAAGGATATATCGAAATATATTTACCCCGAGCTTCTTCAAAATGGCGATATCCTCCTTGTATTTGTTGTAAGAGTCGGTTGCAATATCTCCAGTGTGGTTATTGTAAATGGCGCCATTTTGGTAATGGGAGAACCGATCCCAGGTACTTTCTGTTTTATCTACGTTTTCAGTACGGGTAATATTAGAGAAGTTCGCAGGCTCGAAGGCGGGAATTTAAACTTGAGCAACCTACCGCTCACGTTCCAAGCTCCTTCTATTTGGTATGCGGCTGTCGCAACTCCCAGGAGAAAGTTCGGTGGGAACTGCAGATTCTGCTCCGCAGATTCGCCACTTGCAGAGCTAGAAAAGACAAGCTTAGAGAAACTTGCCTATCTATCGAATATCCAGCCATCGAAAAATCGCTATCGTCTCTAATTCTTCCTCGTTGTTGCTTTGTATTTTAATGTATTTATTTATTAACACTAGAATTACTGATCTGGGGGGGGGGCGTGTAAGTAGTAATACTATTTAGCTAAATAATGTTGCAATAAAGCAATGACAATAATCGAAGTAGCATCAGATATGAGTCGGCTATGATTGCGTTCTAGAGATGGTTAACTTCGTCTGTGACGGTTGCGAGAAACTACTAATGCCACAACGGAGAGTGGAAGATCTAAAATCAATAAGTTACAGACAGATAAGAGGGCGCTGCGGAGGAAACTGCATTATCCCCAATTCAGATGCATTCTAGTGTTTGATAAATAAAAACTAGTTTTTTTTTGTGTAAAGTAATGAACTTGTATTTCTACTATTTTTGTCTCGCACTTCAGAAGAAAAATTAATTTCATCAGAAGCAACTGTATGTTTGAAGTAGTTGCATGAATGAAATATCTGAAACTAGTGATTTTTGAGTAGTTCTAGTGAGAAACGTTAAGTACCACAGAAGTATTGAAGGAAATATAAATCAATATATTCTATGCCTATGAGAAGAGACACTCATGAAAAATTTAAAAAAATCAGTGTTTCTTTTTTTTACTAGTTTATTCAGAACAAGTATCACTCAAAGATTCTAAAAATTCACGAAGTTACAGTTAATATTAACGGAGTAAATACTTATTTGTTAAATACTTGTCAAAATAAGTAGTGATCGGTATATATATTTTATATTTAGCTTCAATCCCTCTTTCACTGTGTAAAAGAAATTAAACCAATTCAATATATAATTCTTCCAAAAATAAATTTTTAGGAGATCCATAATTTCACGAAATACAAAGTATGTTCCCCCTTAAGTACAATTAAGTACAGAAAGGCAGAACTAAGGAAATTGATTGAATAGTAATTAAAAACAATTATGTATTAATGATAATTGAATAGTTCTAAGAATATATGCAAATTTCGGAACAATTGGTCCAAAGTGAGTTAGAAAATTGGGTACTTACATTACAAGTAGGAAAACGACGCCAAATCCCAGCGAGCACGTTGCGAACATGTTTGCTTGGAAACTACAAATGCATCAATAATTCTTACCAGTCGTTTATATATTTAACTTTCATATGTTATCGAACCTTGTTGATAATATAGTTCGTGAAATGTTTATGTTTTTAACTGCTTACCGAGATACCGATGTCTACGATTGAAGTAATTAAACGCTTGCCGATTTTATCAATATCTCTCGATATTGATTATCAAATAAAATTCTTTATCAACCTGTTAATTACCTCCACGTAGTTTTTGACATTCCCCTAGTAACTCGTATCTTCTATCAGACAGATGCAAATAAATTAAGCATTTGATACCAGTGTTATGCCAATAAAATTATACCGAAACCGATATGACATCGAAGTCGACTCTAAGCGAACTTTTAATACCGGTATAATACCAAAATCGACTATCATCGAAATACCAATTCCGATATAGCATCGAAACGAATAGTTTATCAAAAACCAAAATAAATATCCGTATTTTCGAAAATCAATTCTTACCTATTCATTTTTATTACTTCCTATTTCGCTACCCCATGTTACCACAACTTATAGAAGAACAAAATTTAATTTGTCTTGATTCCAAACCAAAAATCCATAATTTTTAAATTTCCTAAAGAAATAGCAGTTTCAAAACGTTTATCAATAAAAATACCAATAAGAATTAATATAACTAAATATTTTTCATAGATATAACGATGCGAGACGGTATTCCTTTATGTCGATTTCCACGAGTGTTACAAGGGTCTGACCGATATTTAAATTACCGGTATTTTTCCCAGGCATCTCTGCAATAAATACCGCGTTCCTCACCCGAACATTTTTCCCCTTGCTAAGTTAATTGTCGCAGGTGTGGAGCAATTCGCATTCCAAGCCAGACACTGCGGCTCTCCGTTGAACGGATTAAACGCGAGGTAAACAACGGTAATAACGACAGATGAGAGGTTAGGAGAGAGAAATAAGGCAAACGAATGCGTTTAAGGGGCATTCGCCGTGGCTCGTCGTTCCCGTGCACGAAATACCCCGGGAAAATCTTTCCAGCGGGAAATACGTATCCTGACAGGTAATCTCCGCGAAACATTCGGCTGCGAGGTTATATAAGCTGGATAGAAAAATACGCGGAGAGGTACGAAAACTTTGTTGCCGCGAGGACGCCACCTACCGGCCCCTTTCTACAATTCCCTATTTTGTTCCCCGATATCCCGATACGAAATACGCCGTACGTTCGTCGTAGCGTGCCGAGACACGCAGCTTTACGACAGTTTGCAAAGAAAGTGGATCAAGGGTATTCTCTCCGCCAGGATAGGGAACATTATACGACCGACAGTCGGCGTATCACCCTAGGGGGATCGAGTCGGGCATAATTCCATCATGCGAACGACAGTGATGCGAACGCAGCTTGCGGATAGAGGTTATACGTGATCGGAACATGTGTCGTCAACGCCGATTGCGATTAATTTTGTGACTCTAACTAGACAGATAGGGCTTGTCTGCGAGCCTGCTTCCTGCTTTAATTTTATCGGCGCTTCATGCCTTCGGCGGGAATTATGAAAATTGTATGTAGTATCATTTTGCATTGAAAAGGCGATTGACAGTAGGAAAGTCTCCAAGTTTTTCTTAAATATGAGAAATTAGAAACCAATTATATTTTGTTAAGTCTACCATACAAAGTATATAATACTTAACAATAAAAGTAACTCCTATTATCTCGAGTAATTAAATTATATTCTACGATACCAAACATTCTGGTAGTTTAAATCGGTAATGCAATTCATTCGCAACTGTCTCTAACGTTATGCTTGGATTATATTTGCAAAATGGACATTTACTCCGTGGTAATTCGATAAAAATCTATTACATTTATTAAGCTAACTTACGCTTCGTTAAAACCTTCTTCCTTCCTAACAGCGGATTTTCAGCCGGAAGTCTGGTATTAGCGACGTCTCGATGCAGCCAGAGGAAATACGGTTGGATGCCGCGCGCTGTCGGTGCACCTCCGGCCTGCTTAATTGAAATATGATTAAGAAATGTTGCCGCGGCAACCGAGCTTCCCCGTTTTGTTCATTGTCTGTGGTAATTCGTTTCTTTCTTCGCGGATAATAGGATAAAAAAGTTCTCTCCGTCTTTCCGTCTGCGTTTGGATCACCGCGAGTAAAAGTTCGATAGATAGGCTAGCGTTCTCTAAACTCGACAGTTTCGTGACGCCTCCGCCAGGTGGCTTCTACGTGTCCCTATGCTTTCGCTTCAGCCTTAGGCAAAATTCATTATTTTACAATTTATTAATTGTGGATCAGTTTCTGAAACTACTTTATTGCAATGAAAAATTTAATTTCTTATGAAACTGCAAAGCTGAAGTTACTAAAGTGTGATCGTTAATGACATAATCATTTCAAAATTGCGATTTATTAAACAAGAATGATTCATATATATTCTAGTACAGGCAGTCAGCGCTTCGGACAATTAATTAATGTATAATATTCAAGTCATACAACATCAAATACTCAACTAATTTGTTGCATTTGATTTTTTTCGCTTAAAATAATAATAAAATTTTGACCTAACTCGTTATATCTGAACTCTCATATAAGATACTGAAACAAATTTAAAAATAAAAATTTGTCCTAACTTATCATAGTAATCTAACAAATTTAAACACTAAATTTTATGTTAAGCCGATTAGAACTAATTTTCGACACAATTAAAACTAAAATTTCGACCTAACCTATTAAAACGGTATAACAAATTCGAACATATAAAATTCTACGATAACTTGTTTCACTTGTAATCTCTCGTATAAGATAATACAAAAAATAATTGCGAGTCGTACTTCGAACCACGTTATCACTTGTTCATTGACACACTGACCAGCCTGAAGAAAAAAATCAGGTATAACAGAGGCCACGATATGACGAGGTTTTAAAATCAGTCAGACATGAAAGTAAACATGTTCAATTTGCAATGAACGCGATTAACAATGATACAATCATTTCGTTTCTGATGGACAGAACCACCAGAATCGTGGCAACCATGAAAACACATTCTTCTTCTAGAACTGTACTGTACTGACTATATCTCCCTCACTAGTAACTTGAAAAATTTTTGCATAACAAAATTATGGATACTCTTAAAGTATTATGTTAAAAATATGCATTTAAATTGAGTAGGAAAGGAATTATCTGTCTCCAGAAAAGTTTTCAGAAATCTAGAACAAAACCTTCTTAACCATTCTTCTATTAAATCTGTTAAATGGAACGTTGCAAATTCTGGGTACTCTATGTATAGTGTCGATCAATATCAGTTCTCAAAACCTTGATCTCGTTGGATTATAACAATTTAGTTTATATCCACGCTATACCTTCACTGTCATAATTTCTCGTGTGCCGCGAAAAAATAACGAGGCACGAAGTTACGTGGGATCGAATGTATTAACATATTGCTTGGACAAACGATCGAACTTGAAGATAACATTAAGCCAGGCTTTATTTCCCGATTATCGTGCACATTGGTTGCAGTCAAAATTGCCCTTATCGTGGCGCATACGTTCGCACAGGCAACCGAATCTCTGTTACGTGTCGTCGTTAAATCTGCACATATGTTCTACATACGGTTTCCTATGCTCCATCTATGTTTTCATTGAACAAATTTGAATGGTCTCACGGAGTATATACGTGCGGGTTCGAAGTATCGAAATATTGGATAATTTTGAGGCTCTTCCCTTCATCCATCCCTTTATTAATTTTTTTCTGGGAGGTCTACCTAAGCTAACCGCTTTAATCATTTTGGATTAATTAATTTTTTGTCTGCAATAGTGTTATTAATTTGCACCTAACCTAAACTTTATATTTAAAATTTTTTATATATAATTTAAATATTTAAAATAGTAAAATTTTTTTAAATAATTGCTTTGATGTCGACTAAATAATGAAACACATAGAATAAAATTGAAAATTTCCAAATTTGTTTTTGTATCACCCATTATCCTCTTTGAAATCGTTTCACTTTATACCATTTCTTCGTATCGTTTCCAGGCATTTGGAAATGGGACATCGTGTATATCGCATATTTAAAATGAATTATGCAAATGAGGGAATAATCTCTAATTATTCCTTGACATCAAGTAATAGTTTTGCGTAGTCCATAATGAGCTGTATCAAACGGTTCAGTAAAAAATATACATTCCCCTGTAGAAAACCAAATTTGACCTTAGTGTAATCTATACCTGTCCACTTATCACGCCATCTTGTATCCCCTTGTGAACTTTACCTCGATTTCTGTATGGACCTGTTTTCTATTTGGTCGTTGGTTTACAGAAATTCTCATCTATCGATAAAAATTGGATACCCTATGTATACACGCTGCTAGGGAGTATCGTGTACCTACTAGTAACTAGTTATCGAATAACAAAATTGATAAAACGAAGTCAACCAGAAACGACGCGGAAGCAATTCGCGCATGATTAAATGTGAAATAAATGTTGAAACATTATCCACAGAGATAAACGCTCACCGTATCCCAGGACGATGAATTTTTGAAGTAACTTTTAAAGCGTGGCCTGGCTTCTACGGGACGCTACTTTCAGTGGAATTCATAAGCCGCAACATTTTTATGAAGGAAAATTATTAATGCACCGGTAAGTTTGTGTAAAGTTAGTAAAATGTCAAGTTTTCGAAGTTGGCCGAGTTTTTAAAAGGGAATTTCGCCGTCAGGTCATACTCAAAGGGTGCTCCGCGTTTTATTCGCCCCCTATACCGGAAGAACGGTATTCCGAGTTCTAACGTGAAATTGGATCGAACTTTGATCGAATTATTACGCGTGACGTGTATTTATTGCGAATCGATTGACTTTGGGAAATTAAATAGTCGGAATGTACTTCGAATACATATAAAATTAAGTACTAATCAATTGCTGTGACCCGAAAATTTTGAAAAATTAATAATGGAGATAATCATTTCCGGTTTTCTCTGGATAAGTTATTGATTAATTAACATTAATTATTAAACTACTGAAGAGCAGAATTACGGTGTTGTGAATTTAAGTATATAATTTTATACTGTACTAATATATACAAATGTATTGTACAAAATAGTTGAAATGTTTTGATGTAGGTAAACAGGTGTACATATTTTACATTCACAATACTTATATATTAATAGTATATAAAGTAATTTATATAAATATGTTTTAAATACTAATTGAAATTGTATGATGAAGATAAACAAATATACATATATTATTACATTCCTACTAGAATAATAATTAATATTGATTTTTCTAGAGACAAGTGTTTTTCCACAGTATTTGCGAAAAGAACCTGAAACCGGCCAATTGCGAATCTGTAATCCCTCATAATGCATGCAAGAAGCAAATTCATTAACGTCCCTCCTTTCCCTCCATTTTCGTCGATTTCACCTCCATTTATCACCCGTTTCTTTGCCCACCCCTACTCTTAGATCTTTCTATTGAATACTTCTGCAGAACATATCCCCCTCTTTTGACTATGAATTTCTTATTTTCATCTTTACTCGAAATCTATCGCAAGGAATATATAACCCAACGTCATCGATCGAACTGAAGAAGAAGGAAGATCGTGATCCACAGGTTCACTGCTTGTAGGTACACGACCTTTCCTAACAAAGATACGTAAATTAGTTCTCTGCGTTCGGTTGGATTAACCAACGAGGAATTATTACCAGGAATTACAGTTACTTATTGTCTTCGATGATTATTATTTAATTACGTCAATTTCGCAAATATCAATTGCAATAACTAATTATTTACGGATAATTAAATCTACTTCTGAAGAGGATGGAATATTGTAAACATGAAAGACCTACCCTGACATCGGAGTGTTCAATTTGGATTAAGTCATGAGAAATTATTATCTGGAATTAAGGTTATTTAATTAAGTAACCTTCGTGAATATCGCCGGCAAGAATTAATTATTCGCGAATGATTAAATGCACTCGCTTATAAAGATGGAGAATCGTGAACCCGAGAGGCTTACTTTAACTTTTAAACTTAGTGACGACGTTACAGCTTTTATTTTACGATTATTGCTTAATAAACTTAATTTGATAAACGTTTATGACGATAATTAGTTATCAGTTGTGGTCTAAAGTCTTGAAATTACGGTTATTATTAATGATTCCGATTACTTGACATTTCTTCCGAGTGTCGTTTAATTAAACCAATTTCGCGGATATGTGAAGTCAAGAAACTTTATTCCTCTGTTACCAACGTGTGCGTGTCGACCGATATCTCGTAAGCGTCAACATACTGATTACTTAACCATATAGCTTGAGAAAACGAAAATAATAAATCTCAGTGCGCGAATACGAATTTCAGTCTAGAAATACTGTATACCATATCAGTTTGAAAATTATTTTGGATAGTTTTTCTAATCCTAACAAGTTTGATCGTTTTCGATTAATTAATTATTCCTCTCGTTGGTAATATCGTTAATTTAATAAAAATTTTATTGTCGTTACATCGAAATTTATTCGAATACCTCTGATTTGTGACAAAATAATTTTGTATTATTTAATAACTAAATAATTGAAGACATATAAAGTGAATCAGCCGGTAGATTGTGTTATGCAAATTAATCTTAGCTTCAGTGTTGGAATAAAAAATATTTCTTAAAGCAAATAACATTTTTGTCCCTGAAATAAGAAGTACATCTTATTCGAATTATTTCTAAAATAAGGAACATCTTTAATTTTGAGCACCTCAAAATATGAAAATAGTTTTATTTGAAAATGCAATTAAAGAAAGATATAGTTTTATTCGAAAGTGCCATTAAAGTAAGAAATATTTTTTATTTGAACCATCTCTACAACGATAAATATTTTTCATTTGAAATACCTTTGTGTGCTTTATGAGACTATTAGAAAATTGAAAGTTGAGTAGCAGTTAGATGTCACTCATAATTACCACTGGTATAAAATCAAGAGATTAATTAAAAGATTAAACAATTCGCTGCAATTCAGATGTCTAAACAAAAATGGACACTTGAACCAATAGTGATGCAGTAGAACTCGAACTGACCAACTTCTTCTTGATGCATCACTTATATATCGGACACTCGTATGTATTCTTTCAACAATCTTTCCACAAAATTTAAACAGAAATAACATTCTGTAAGTTCCTCTGCATTCTCTGCTGGATAAAAAAGATAAATAGCACTGTTCCGTATTACTTGATCCATTTGTATCGCACAAAATCTCTGAGAAAAATGATAATATTTATTTGTAATATAAAACATTATATTGATATCAATACTGATACATATAACATTAGTATTGATATCAAAAACTCTCTGGAATAAAACCGAAATGTCATAGAGAGGCATTTGACCTATTGGAATAAAATCGTTATCTCAAAGAGTAGGAAATGAGACTCAAAGAATTATTGTAGATGATAAGATTGAGAAGGTCGAAATTGATCAGTACAAACTAATATTACACATTATGCAAAGTGGCATTCAAATTCTCGATTAAATCGTGAAACACGAATATTTGATTACGAGAGGTGATTTCGAATGGTTGCCGATGAATAAGTTTATCAGTAATTATCTCTATCTGTCAAGATTGACATTCGATCGATATCTGCTTTTCAGTATTATCAAGTCCCTGAGTGTGTAATACGAGTTCACGGAGAATTCCCAGGGAACGTGAGCTGAAAACATTTTCGTTTTGCGATACTCGATACTCTGATATAGTGCAATCTGTTATTCTCAGATTTTCATCGTGAGACCTTCGTTACGATGGAGAAATATATCTCTGATAACAGAAATATCATGTCACGTTAGGTTATTCCTTCAATTAGTTATGTGGTTCAACATTTTGAATTAATGTGAGTCACATGACGCTGATAATCGCTGCAATTTTTAGGTTATGGCTATCTGCGTCCCTCATGCGTTGACCTTAGAACTACCGAACTATAATATTTGCTCGAATAAAGTATGTACAGATGATAATAGTTGCAGACTGTATCGATATGTACTGTATAAATAATAATAAATGATAATTATTAAAAGAAGTTAGTTTGACTTTGGCAGTCATTTGATAGTTCCATTATTTAAATGCTTGTAATGATGTTTATAGGATTTTAGAAAGTTAATAGATTATTGTGTTAAACAGAATTCGATTACATGACTAAATAATTTTACAGATGGAAGAATTTGTGAATTCTGTACTAGATATGAACTGAAAATATTTTGTGTGGCAGCCCCATAGTTCGCGCACTCTCCACCAGAGGGATTCTGAGACGATTGAGGTTCTCGCAGATGTCTCAACGAATCCTCCGCGTCCTATAAATGGAAGTTCCTGATTTTTATATAATATCCCGCGTCTGAGGCACGAGTCTACTGGACTCACAATTCCGCTAGCAGACCTCGGACGAAACCGCATCATCCTATACCCTTTCCCTCCATTCTTTCAAAAAACAGACAGACCTGTTCTCTTTAACACGAAGAGAGCTTGCCTCATATATAATATAATTTCCATTTCTAATTCAACATATCACACAATGATTAATTTTCACAAAGCTTAACTTAGCAACTTAAACATTTCACGCACACGTACTTTTTCACGACTCTATCATCAAAATCCTCACCAATCCAGCCTACATTACCCCCAGACTTATCATTTATGTTCTGATGGTTCGTGCCACAATCAACAGCAAGATTTTTGTTGGTCATACGTCGAATCGTATCCAGAATTAACACGTAACTGAGTCGTGTGCTGTATCTACTACAAACCACGTCCCTCATACGTGACATTCATGTTTAGCCCGATTCCTTACGAACCTCACACGATATCGTAGGCGTAGGAATGAAATACTCCCAATATCAAATCAATCCAAGCAAACCGTTCAAAACTCACCTAAAAACAAATACAAACCAACACGTACACCTGTTTGTTTCCATCACGTAACTTCCATAATTACTATTATCTAAGTATTAACCCCTTGCCATTTAAGTTGCGATGGGAAGTGCCATAGTCAAAAGCAAGATCTGATACACGTCAAGCAAATTCGTCTGAACGCGTCGAAGTACAACGCGTAACTGAAAGAGAAAAACATCAACGAAGTTGACCACGACCCTGACCCGTAATGTTCGCCCTGAGCACTATCTACAAACAACGGCTCTCACTCGCGATACTTTCTTTTGGGCCGATTTCCATACCACTTAAAAAGCATCCGACCTCGATAAACTCGCATAAAAAAATATTAAACCGATGCCCCCGTCAAGACATCCAATCTTCTCCAACACCTCTGCCCGTAGCGTTCGGTCGAAATCAAGATCCGCTTAAAATCCTGTCCCCTAAGAAACCGAAGGAGCCCGCGGCGACGGTGGCTCCCCTAGCGGCCGACGCAAAAGAGGTGAGGGAGCATGCATCAGGATGTATATTCCCCGGACAGCCTTCCGCTCTTTGTCCGAACTGGAGCCAGCAGTAGGTGTCTATAGTACAGTACCTGTGTGCGAGTCATGGATGTGCGTGAGAGGGTGGACAGCGTGCCCGTGTTACGACGAAGGGGCGGAAAGACGGAGGGACGAGGTGGTGGAGAATCTGGTAGAACGTGGCCACCCCCTTTATCAAAGGCCCTGGCACTTTGCCACGTCGCACCGCATAATGAAGCAGCACGTTGGGCTTCGGTTATAACGGCGCCGTGGCTTGTGTTTTGCCTTCCGTGGAATGGTTTATTGTGTCGCGAACCTCGTTCCGCTCCACTCTTCTCCCACCACTGGTCTCCGTCACGAGACTATAGCTTCTCTGCCCCCTCCACGTCCGCGATACACTCGCATCGGCATTCGCTGGCTGCTGCGTACCAGCCACGTCGAACAAAGGAGCACGTGTAAGCGGTAATAGGCGTTATTACATCTCCCAGAGCGTTCGTCGCGTTTCCACGATTGAACGTATCGAACGAGAATGTTAATCGCAGGGAACCGCGTTCCATGATTGGGCACAGTACCGAGGGGATCCCCCGTGATTCTTTCTCGTGCCCCATTCTCAGTGTCGACACGTGCCCGTCTGGTGATTCGCCGATCGATCGACAGAGGGACTCGTAGTCTCGCCGGAGGGGAATAAGGCAGTTCCTTTTAGCTGTTTATTTTTGGGTCGGATAGACTTTTGGGAGTGGATCAAATCGGGAAGCAAGTGGTGTTTTCATACGAGCGTTTTTATAATTCGACGAGAGAGGAATGTCATGCAGTTCAAATGCTGTTTACGTGGGATATTTTTGTGCTTATTTGGTCATCGCTGTTCGTGCATTTTATCATCACCGATCATGGATTTCTAATTCTTAGTTTATCTTCCTCGTAGGAACTCGGATATTTTTTGCGCATAATATGAGTACAGTATTGATTTCAGAAACAAAGGGAAATGATGAAGAAGCAATGACTAAAACAAATTTGTTGGTGAAGAATTCTACTTTACATGTACTGTACTTTAAATAATGTATCTTTTCTTATGTAAGTAACAGTAACATTTAACTGTTACCATTTAAATTGGCCACCCCATATGCTCATATATACAAGTAGAAAAAGAGCAGAGGGTAATTAGGAAAATTCTATAGCAATGTTTGAGTTGCCAATTTGTCAAATGGATTAATTCCAAGAAACAGGAAGTAGATATTTGATTTTAATTAAAGTGTGTTTGTATATAAGCACCAATCCAATGCTCGAGGGATAAAATTTTGAAAAATTAAAAAACTGGAGTTGATCACTTCAGCTATTTATCAACACACAAACCAAATTGGCATAGCTATGGGATCTAATCCTACCACACAAGTATAACAAATCCAAATAGTATATGATACATTCCTATGAAGAGTCATAAAGACTAATTGCCTCTAAACTACGACAAAATTATCCTTTTGCGAGATGGTTAGCCTCGAGGGACGTCTTGTTCCGATAAAGCACTTCCACAGCAATCACGCTGTTCCGTTGCAGGGAATAAATGGTAGCGTTTTAATACCCCTTCGTTACACTCTTATTTTTCGTTCTCCCGTAAGAGGTCGCGTTCCTTTATTCCGTGGTAATCCGATTGGCCGCGACATCGTTAGCAAAAGATACACAGGTTATTATAACAAGATGTTTTTGTAGGTACGAGCAAAAACGGAATATCTTTTAGCTCGACGGGCTTGCTTTAATCATACCTTGTTAGTGAACTACCAACTGCACACGCACGCCTTTTCCTCGGCCCGTTCAATTTAGTCGGCGAAACCTGCAATGTCCGCTGAAACTTAACGACTTTCCCTCCGGCCTGCTCGTTTTGTCTTTACAGAAATTTCAATGTTTAGCTTGCTAACTTCCGCGATTCCGTTTTTTCATCCCACGTACACCCCAGTCGATCGAACGGGACGTGATGAGATCTGTGATCGAATAATCTTGAGTTTGGGGCTGTTCGAATCATCAAAATTCTCACTGTCATTTGTCTCCAGACATTTTAGTGCTCTACTTGCCAGTTTACGTAATCTCGTTTTTCTTACCCCATTTGCACCCTAATCAATCAAGTAAAACTTACTATACCTAAGTTAAGAAATATCTTAAACGTCGTGCGTTAACTCTTAGCTTGGTATCGCTTCCCAAAAATTGTTTTTTGGGAAACGATACCAATTACCAGGTCTCACCACGTGGAGGTGGCTACGCATCGAGGCCCGACATGCGCCCTAGTGGCACAGCCTGCTGGCGCTATCCGTATCAAAGGTAGCCTAATCTAACTTGGAGCGAAAGAAGTTAAAGTGAAGCTACTGACACCTTATTAAATATCGTGTCTTACAAAGGAGACGCGATTATTCGAAAGACCGACTAGCCTACGCGACAAATATCCCACCGAATCGTGTCTGATTGTTTCGTGCGTAGGAAACCTAAACCTAATTCATTCCGAAGATGGATAATTCGTCTCGAATTGCAATCGTTTTATACATAGGCTGAACGACTTAACCAACGTCGTTATAAAATTCTACTAATTTTTTCGACTTTCAACCCGCGGCATATTCGTGGCATCGAGGGGCAGGGCTGTTTAAAAATCCAT